ATCTCCCCAGAAACCTCTGAGGCACTAGTAGAGTCTAGCTCGTGACGAATCTGAGCGATTTTCTCCCTGAAATGCTTGGCAAAGTCGTCACAGCGGGCCTTCGAGGGTGGAACCAGATCTTTCTTAGGACCTGGACGAACCAGGCCATGCACCACTCGAAAAAGCTCCGCTGGACGGCATTTTGAGGAGGCAATGGAAACGGAAAAGAATTTTTTTTTCACCATCCTCGCCACCACAGCATAGGCCCGATAATGGGCTCTCAAGTGTGTTCGGTCAGATTTATCCCGTGATCTCCTCCACCTACGCTCTAGCTGTCTCCCAGCCTGCTTCATCGCCTGCAATTCAGGTGTATACCGGGGGAAGAGTGGGCTCTGCCTGGCGGGAGAGGACACTTAGGAGCGATCGTGTCAACAGCCCTGGTCATCTCCCCGTTCCACAGTTCGACCAGGGCCTCGACAGGAACACCAGTCTTGTCAGCCAGAAACTCCCCCAGGGCCTTCAGGAATCCATCCGGATCCATCCGGCTCCAGGGGCGGACCCACACAATTGGGTCCGCACCCTTACAGAGGGAGAGGCCGCTCTCCAGCACAAACCTCACCAGGAAGTGATCTGACCATGACAGGGGTGTCAGACATAAATTCCTCACCCTCAGACCACCCTCTTCCTGCCCCGTCGAGAAAACCAGGTCCAGAGTGTGTCCATGTTCATGGGTTGGGCCTGTGACATGTTGAGACAGCCCCATGGCCGTCATGGAGGCCATGAAGTCCTGAGCCGCCCCGGTCAGACCAGTCTCGGCATGGAGATTGAAGTCCCCCAGACCAGCATCCTGGGGGTCCTCAACACCAGGTCCAAGACGGTCTCCGTCAGCTCAGGCAGGGAGACTGTTGGGCAGAAGGGTGCACGGTACACCAACAGAATCCCCAATCTGTCTCGGTCGCCCAACACCAAGTAGAGGCACTCCAGCCCTGTCCTCAAAGGGACCGGAAGTCCCATGAGGGAGATGGAGGCTCAGTAAACCAAAGCGATCTCCCCTCCCCTCCCTTCCGGGTGTGAATGGTGCTGAGCCAGATAGCCGGGCGGGCACATTTGAGAGAGGGCGACATCCCCCGCCTCCCGTCCAGGTCTCCGTTATGCAAGCCAGGTTGGCCCCCTCATCCACAATCAAGTCATGGATGAGGGAAGATTTATTGTGGACCGACCTAGCATTGAGCAGCAGCACCGAGGGGTGGTTGACAAGACTACCTGGCACCCTCTGGCTGGGGGCAAAACCAGAAGGAGGGACAGGTGTCAGCCATCTGTCCCTCCTTCTACGCAGACACATTAAACCCCCACCGCTGTAACGTCCATTGCCCATGACCACCCCAATGGCGGCGCCCCCGCGCTCCCCAGGAAACTCAACCGTCGACATGGCCAGGGACTACTCCATAAAAACAAATTAAAATACAATAAAATTATAAAAACAATCAAAAACTCCCCATTTCCCCCCCCCCCAATACAAAATTAAACTTCCCCCCACCAACCTAGTCCCCTGCCAGCCCAGCCCTGCACGGCCATGAACGGCCACAAACGGCAGTGCCGCCGCCCTTCAGCCGCGTCCGGCGGGTTAAGCTAGCGCCTGCCCACGCGCTCCGCCCCAATCCGGCGTCGGTCTCACCAGCACCAGCGGGGGGCGGAGCAGGGAGGGGCACGGAAACCCATCCGGCGGCAAGATGGCGGCACCCTCCTCTGCGCTGTCGGTGGCGGGCCTGGAGTGGCCCTGGCGTCCTCCGTTGCCGGGGTGGCCCAGCGATGGCCGTGGGAGCGGCATCAGCTGGCCCCCGGCTCGGCGGTGCGCCCCAGTCCGGCAGTGGCAGTGACGGCAACAGCGCGGCGCGGCAGGTGGTCCGAGCCGCGGAGCGCGGCAGATGTTCGGGGGGGGGAGGGAGCTAGAATTAACAGTTCTCCAAGGCTTTTCTCAGATTCTGTTATCCAAGATGTTCAACTGGAAACTGAATTTGCAGTCTTGCTCATGCAAAGCATGCCAGTGGTGTGGTGGAGGCGCAAGGGACCAGTGACACAGCCTTGCACTGAGAAGACAGCATGCAGCTGTCACGCACAGGCCATTTTGGAAAGCTTTCATTCATGGTATCGTTTAAGTTGGAGACGACTTGACCATGTGTAGCAACAAAGCCAGGAAGCATGTGGGTCACACCGCCTCTGTACCCTTGCAGCTGTGGTCAGTAATGGCAAACTGTGCCATTATGGGCTGCTGCTAAATATGTCACATTTATCACATGGACTCCTTGAATGAAAATGCAGCATCATAGATGGATGCACCACATGGCACTGGTTAAAAAAAAATTGCCTGTTTATTTCGTTCCTATACTGCCCTGTAGCTGAAGCTCTCTGGGTGATTATAGTGGTGTTTGGCTTCTTATAACAGGGATGGGGAACATGGGGCCCTGCAAATGTTGAACTACAGTTCCCTTAATCCATCACTATTGGCTATGCAAGCTGGGATGGGAGTAGCTGTCTAGCAATGTCTGATGGGACACTTTCTCACATCCATTTCTTATAGAGACACAAGTAGTTGTGTATATGTAATAGCAATAACTTTTGGAACAAAATCACTATCTTCCTGCTGTCTGCATTGTTCAAATACCAGTCCAGTATTTCCCCAAAGCATTCAAATTCTCCATCACATAAGAATAGAGCCTTTTTTGCTGAAGTATTATGTCCTGACTGGTGTTTGCTTTTCAAAAGGAATGAGGTATCTTGAGCCTTCTCATGCATTTGCAAGACTTCCAAACAAGGCTTTTGTAATGCAATGACCTTCCTCAAGCAGGGCACTTTATGCAGACCTTCATGCCTTCCATCTGAGACCTGTTTTTCCATCAACTACTTCTTTTCTTGCCATGAAAATACCTGTTGAGATTGAGATGGAATAGCTAGCAGCAGAGTATTTTTTGATTAGTAGCAGTAAGGGCCATCTGTCTTGATGCATCTTATGAAGATGCAATCCACCATCCAGAGCTGTAACAGTATTGATGGAAAGCCCGAAACAAATCAATGCAAGAATCTGTCTAGAAACGAGTTTTGCATTTGGATCTGGGTTCAGTTCTAAGACAAGCCCATGTCACCAGCTCAAGATAGGACCAACTCCTTGCAGGAGGGGCCATTCCTCTGTGGCAGAATGGAGGCTTTATATACAAAATATCCAAGGTTTGATCCCTTGAATCCAAAAGCAGGGCTGGTGAAATCGTCTGAAGCCCTGGAGAGCCTCTGCCAATACTCAACTAGATAAATGAGTAGTATAAATTCCTACTTCTATCTTTTCCTTCATCCAGTTCATATCCAGAATTTATAAACAAAATTAACTTGTGGTTGGGCTCTTTTAAAAGCCTAAGCTTTTTGGATATCCTACATTTGCCTGTATTTGAGCAGCAGAGTTTTCAAATTTATATTCTTAAAGAAATGTATGCCACTATCCACCCACCTCTGCATGAGATTATCAGTGCACTAATTATTATAATCTGAGACTATGTACCACTAACCCTGGCACAGGAACGTAACTATCTTTAAAGTCACTAATTCCAACCTATCTTTCTCTACTCCATAGCAATATTTGACCAAGTTCAGTTTAATGTTGCTTTTGCTTTCACCCCTAAAAAAGGAGCACAAGTTTGACCATTTTATTTTTTTAATGAAGTGTGAGAAACCACAATGGTGATAAATGCACAATTTCTGCAAGGCTGTGCTTCCATGTACTGTGTATGTTGTATTACTCACCCTGGAATAAGTACTGGCAAACACGCGGTGGTGGCTTGAGGCATTCTTTGATCACAGAGACAGGATCAGTCTCCCAAGAGACCCATTTCTTCTAGTGGACCCCTGGGCAGCATGTCAGGAGTGCTCACCTCCTTGCTACGGTCACCACTGTCCATGCACTTGTCCCCTCCCTCTGGGCAAAATCCTCAACTCCAAAGCTCAGAAGAACAAACAAAGCTGCTGTTTTCTCTGTACTCCAGTCAGTGCCGTCACGTGCTTGGATAGGGCCAGAGAATACAGGACATAGTAACAGCCACAAGAGCCGAGCCAGAGGGCTCTGGCAATCAGGAGCAGGACCCCTATCACAGTTTGGGCCAAGGTTTGTGCCATATGGTGCTGACCCCTGAAGGAAGCTTTCCTTCCAAGCAGCTGTTTGGACTGAAAGAGTAATTTTAAGAAAACAGGTCTTACAGTTCTGTTTAAAACTGAAGCCACATTAAGAAGCTGATCAGGCTGTGTAATCTATATAGCTAAAAATCCTTGCCAAAACTTCACAAGATTCAGTGCTTATCCTTGCTGACAGGTCAACACAGGCAAGGATCTGTTCATACCCACAGTGGCAGCCTTCCAGCCTGCAAGGTCACTCGACGGATTTTGACATTGTTCCAGAGCTTTGGAATGTTTCACTGTGCCTAAGTTATCACCACTTAGTTCTACCTTCTTCTCTCTAGGCAAGACTGCTTTACCACTTATATGGCTTAAGGTCATCCACAGAAGCCTTTCCTGAGTACCCCCTCAATTTGAAGAACATTCCAAAGGGGGGGGGTAATGCTCCCTTTGAACTGCTTTCCCTTGAATAATTCACCTGGTGCCCAACACGGTTATATTTTCAATATTCAAGTAACACTTTCCTGTTCTCCCAAGCATGTAAAATATTGCAATATATACGTTAAGTGATATAGTTTATATTCTTAAATATGATATAATTTTAGCCTTTGTTCTCTTGCATTATATTTTATAATGCTGTGCTGGTATGCTGGATTAATGCTGTGTTTAATTTTATTGACTTGTGTTTTGTTCTATTTTCACTGCTTGTAACTGCAAATACAAAACAGTAAATGTTTGTGCAAACCCTACTCTCCATATAATGAAATTGCTTCAGAAATGTTCAGCCTTTATGTAGCCCCATGTTCAGACTTAACTCTAGGTTTTAGTTCATGGTGAATGGTATAACACAGACAAATCAGACCAAATCCCCTTGATACATGATGTTTATTGGTGTCCTGCACGTTCAGTGTAGCAAGTTGGAGATGTAATAAAAAAGCTTCAAAACTTATTATATCTTCATTGAAATAATTCTAAACAACCCGTGCTTAAGAGCTCAATTAATTCACATGTCTCCTCTCCTGTTTTATAAGAAAAACTTTACTATTTCTTTCTTTTCAGAGCCTGTTTATAATTCTGTGCATTTAAAATCATGAGATACATTCCCCAATGTAAACAATACATTTCCATCTGTGTCACAATCAAAACTGATAAGGCCTTCTGAACTATTTGAGACCATCTCCACGCTTACTTCATTGTAATACACAGTCTTATTTCATACTACAAATATTGGTTCATGCAAAACACACAGTGCATGTGTGTGAGTGAGAAGGGTGTGAAGAGTGAAGTCATCAATCAATGGAAAGGGCACCCCTACATTTTGCGCTCCCAACTGGCTGCTGCATCGTTTGACCAGAGGCCAGGCATTCTCTACAAAATTGCTCAGGATCCTTGGGCTCAGGCTTCCTGAATTGCACACTGTTTCACTATATCCCTTAAAAATACTGTAGCCCCAAGAAACTATTTGGATTGCTTGTGCAGTCCAACTGGCCTACTGAATGGTTCATTTGTGTGTCCTTCCTCATCTCCTTTGCAGGTTTATGGTACGCTTATTTTTTTTAATATGTGGTCTACTTGGCCTTAAAATACGAATATACAATATCCATTAAGCAATAGACAAGTAAAGCTTAAAATGCCTTACTATTTCTCATGAATTGCTAAAAATTTTACACATGTATATGGTAGTAATATTCATGCTGATTGATATACAGATTGGTTTATTTTTATTTTATCAACTGAACAACTGAGACATGGTTAAGTTGGTTTGTTATTTTTAAATAAGAAATGGTTCATATACATGTAAAAAAAGTCTTCGTCTTGAACTAGGTTTCCTGAAGTGGAAATCCCTGATGAGATATTCAAGTTAAAACTGGGGTAGAATGTGCTTAATTTCAAAAAGAATAAAAATCTGGGCATAATCGAGAAAATGTTAGTCCCACTGAAATCAGTAAGACTTAATTTAGTTGCAATTAAATCCCTTTCCACATATTTCTATGGAAATTAAGTTGTAACTAACTTTTTCTATAATGCATTCCCACTTGTAAAATAAAATATATAAAAATGCAAGTTAATGAATATTCTAGCATTTGCTTTTTTATTTAAATGTGGGAAAACTCAGTAAGTACTACTGAATAAAATACATATTTCACATAGCAAAGCTATGGAAGCCCCACTGAAAAGAATATCACAGAACAGCAGTGCTCAATGGCTTGTCCACTCAGCATCACCCAGCTTGGTGTCACCGTTCATCAGAAATGGACGTACCATCAAATTTTCACCCACAGCTGTTCTAACTATGTAGTTAGATAGTTCAAAGGGTAGATAACGAAATGGTGAAGCACAACAGTGCAGTTTTGGGATACATTTCTTGTAACGAGTTAATTGAAAAGTCCTGTTCATTTTTATTGCATAAACATCCAAGTCATGACTTCATTTGAAGTTTGTACTGCTTCATATGTTATTCAACAAGAGACACACGGAGAAAATAGCTTTTTTGTTGTTTAAGTGATGCCTAACAAGTTACTGAAATAAGTATGGTAGTCAGCCAAGGACTTAGTTTTCCTGAGGTTTGTAAGGATTTTAAAACTTAAAAATCACAGTGTCTAGGCTAGACAGCAACCATATTGTTAAATCTTAAATATACAGTTTATACAGAACTTCGGTGCATGGTCAGTTCTTGGTAACATATACAAGGTTTCCTCTAAATGACTCGCCACTGCATAATACTGGTATCTTTTCCACCTGTGGAGATGAGATGAGTATCTTCATATAGAAAATCAACATTGGTTACATGGCTGCTATGGCCACCATACACGTGACTTGGAGCCTGAAAGACATTAAAGGTAAAGAAATGACAGAAGCATAAGCTTGATCATAGGAGTTGCTGCCTTAAATACTGTCAGCAACTGTAGCCAACGACTATGCGTCAGGTGCGTCAATCAATTAATTCCTGTTCCAATGTTTGATCATTGTACTTCCCAGTGAAGACATGGTGGGGAAGATTAGTCACCCAAAGAGGTGTACCTGGTGCCTACTATCTATTCCTTTTGGCACCAGGCAAAACCCTTTTTATTTACTTAACATTTAATAGTTAAATGGTTTTAGTTCTTTTAAAACTCATTTTAACTCTGTGTTTATGTTTTATTTATTGTTCAGCTGTTATACCTTAGGACTAACTTGAATGTGGTTGTTGTAGGCCTGCTGTTGTTTTTATATTATGCATATTTGATGCTAATGTTACTGATTTTGCTATTTGGTATTTTATTTTGTTCTGTTGGTTTTTTTGACTTCATGAACCACCCAGAGAGCTGTTCTGGTCTTATGGGTGGTATAGAAATTAAACAAACAAGTAAATAGTCATGTACGGTCAAACTGGTGGATGGCACAGCCTGCGCACTGCCATTTCTGTCATTAGCACCTTTTGCTCAGCATAATAAGCAGTCAATGGCAGAAGGCACATATGCTATGAGTGAGCTGTACTATGTCACATTATTATACTTCACCATTCGACGTATAAATGGACCCACTGTTCTTCCCTCCTGTATCCTGCTCCGAGTGTAGGGATCCTATGCCTGAAGATCCCATGCAATGCATCCCCTCCCTGGCTGGCAGTGGTTCCAGACATGAAGACCACAGTGGACTAGCAATGCATAGGTAATGTCTTTATCATCACCACAGCAACCTGTGAGTCGACTTCTTCCAAGGCCATTCAGAAAGCTTCACAATGGCATTCTGATCTTTGACTTTGATGTGCAAATGAGGTGTTATTATCTACTTTACTACACTGGCCCATTCTTCATAATACCTGTGAATCAGTTGACTTGTACAAGGCTACAGTGGGGCTTTTTCAGTTTCTTTCTGCCCATGTTCTACCTCACAAGCCATTTTTGAAAGAACTCACCCACGAGTTTCTGGATCACACAGCCTTTCTATCAATCAATGCCATGCAAAGTTAGTTTACTAAATTTTGGGAAAGTCTAGAAAGTAACAGGGATAGATGATTTTTTTTCAGACTGTAAGAACAGCTATACCCATTTCTGTAGCAGTGCTTGCTTATCATTTGGAGAAAATTAATACATAATACTCTGCCTGTGTTCTGACTGATGTGCTTATTTCCTGTAGCAGTTCTCCATGCAATGCACATGACATTAAAAAATTACCACACCTCTATGCTCTTCCTTTGTAACCACTGCCACAAAGATGTGGTATCAGACTGGACTGATGCATGGGGAATAGTCTTAAAGGTTAGGCCTACTACATGGAGGTCACCACAGGTAAAAGCACCTGAGCACTCAACTCAGGAGCTGGAATGTTTGACAACCCTAATTTACAAATCTCTGTAGGTACTGTCATAGTTCTTTTACTGCTGTTAAAATGTGATTTATTTAACCAGACTAAATGTGCATTCTATCTAACAAAAGTATCTATGTCCTTTTAATATTAACTAGGAACTCGTGTAGGGTGACCTGCGAACCTAGTTGTCTCCAATTTGAAATTTCTATAGTATACTGTGTCATATACTAATATGGTCAACATATTCATAGTCATAAGACTACTGCAAAGTCTTGTCAAAATAGTATTTTATACAGTTTAAAAATGCTAGTGTGTTTAAATTTCATTGCACAGATGACACAGTCAATTTTACATCACTTAATCACTTTAGTACTCACTTGCTCAAAACATCTGGTATTATTAGGAATCAATAATAATAACTACATTACACTTGAGAATGAAGTAAATATAAACATATCTAATAATAATGTATTTTTTAAAAAAACAAGTAGAAATAATATTTCATTAAGGTTGGAGGAGAGAAGTGCTCTAGGAGGAACCCTGTTTACAATCAATATTCCCACCAACTGGTATGAATGTTTTAATTATTGGAACTTTCTAATTTGTTCAAACCTTTAGAAAAGTGTTTAATACTAATCAAACTGCAGAAAAAGCAATCAATGGTGTTAAAACAGATGGCTATTTATAAAACATTAGAAGTGGAGTCTGGTGCCTTACCCTGAACTGTGAACACGGATAAGAGAAGAGATGTACTTTGCCAAAGTCATCACCAGTTGATAACAATTTCTTCCCATGCGAACGACAGACTGCATTAATATCCGTTCCATCAGAACCTTCTGGCCACACCCCTGAAACATTGAGGGATCAAACTGTTTTAAATGCCCCAATCTCTAAGCAAAACCATGGACAACTCTTTTTCCATCTATCCTGTCTAAAGGTGCAGCATTTAACACACCTTCCATTTCTAGGTATGCACTAGTATCTGGAACTTATGGATCAAACACAGGAGCGTTAAGACATGCTTACATAATTTGTTCAGTATAACCAATATTTTTACTAGTTTTTTTATGTGTGAGAGTTTAGAAGGCAAAAGGTGCTGGCATGGAAGAAGAACAGCTGGTATAAGAAAAGGCAGGTTGCTCACCTGTAACTGTTGTTCTTCGAGTGGCCATCTGTGCATTCACACATATGGGTGCTGTGCCTGCGCAGTGCCTATGGCTGGAAAGATTTAAAGCCTAATGGTTTTGGTGGGAACTCCACACCCCTCCCCCCCCACAGTATAAAAGGGTGGAGTGCCCGCCATTTCCTCAGTCTACTGAAGACTGATTGTTTGCCCCCTCGTTGGAGTGAGAGATATTACAGGGAAAAACTGCTGAACCGTAGAGAAAAAAATTACTAACGGAACTGGTATCGAGGAGAAATGGTACTGTATAAACCCATTCACTGACACCGAGCAGGGCCGGCGGGTGGGTTGTGTGAATGCACTGATGGCCACTCAAACGACCGTTACAGGTGAGCAACCTGCCTTTCTTCATCGTGGCCTCTGTGCATCACACATATGGGTGATTAGCAAGCTTACCAGACCTGGAGGCAGGCAGTGTCATCATTAAAGGACAGAAGAAAGGATTGCCCGCCCAAAGGAGCAATCGCGTCTAGCACGCACATCAAGGCAGTAATGCCTGGCAAAGGTGCAAAGAGTACTCCAAGTGGCAACCTTGCAAATGTCCTGGATCGGGTTGCCAGTGGCAAAGGCAGAGGAAGCGGCTACCACCCTTATGGAATGCCCTCTGGGCGTGACAGGTAAGTCAAGCTTGGCGAGCTGATACACTAGCTCGATGGTCTGTACAATCTACTTCGAAAGCCTCTGCGAACCAACATGGTCTTTATCATGGTCTGAGTATTTAACAAAGAGGCGGTTAGATTTACGGAAGGACTCCATGCGAGACCTGTAAAAAGCAAGGCAGTGACGAACATCGAGAGAATGTAACGACTGTTCTATCGGTGTAGTGGGTGTAGGGAAAAAGGTTGGTAAGACAATGTCCTGGTTAATATGAAAAGGAAACACAACCTTGGGTAAGAACACTGAATCAGTACAGACAACGACTTTCTCCTTATAAAGTTAAGGTAAGGAGGATCTATCCGGCGTGCGCAGAGTCCACTAGCCCTTCTGGCAGACGTGACCGCGACAAGAAAGGCAGTCTTCCAAGACAGGAGGCGTAAGTCAGTAGTTGCCAGGGGCTCGAAAGGAGCTCGGGTGAGTGCCTGGAGAACAACCGAGAGGCTCCAAGTAGGGATAACTGGACAAAGTGGTGGTTGAAGGTTCTGTAAACCCTTGAGAAATCGTCGTATGAGGGTATGAGCAAAAACCAAAGAACCCCGCACCTGTCCACTGTAGTGGGAAATTGTAGCTGTATAAACCTTAATAGATGATGGCTTAAGTTCAGATTGATGGAGTGATAAGAGAAATTGAAGGATATTTTCAACAGAGGCTGAAGAAGCGGCAAAACTGTTGGATTCAGCAAAGGATGTGAAGTGCTTCCATTTGGCCGCATAAGACTGGCAAGGTGCAGATCTTAGGGCAGACTGGAGAATGAATTGAATATCGGGATGGAGAGCACTCGGATTCGATGAGGCGTCTACTGGTATCAGGGAAGAGGAAGCTGTATCGGGACAGCGTCGGACCAGGGTAGGAGTCCCCGAATCCGCCAGTACCAAAGGGACCCATGGTTCATCGAATGAGCCAGGCTGTAAGATTGAGTGAAGGAAGATCTGGGTGACAACCAGCTCCATCCTGTTGAGTTATTAGATGAGGTATGAGAGGCAGATGGAGAAAGGCACTGCCGGAAAGACGGAGAAGAGTAGGGAACCATGGTTGACGGGGCCACCAGGGGATGATCAGGATCCCCGCGGCACCATCGTAGACGATCTTGGTTAGGACCCTCGTTATGAGCAGAATCGGGAGAAACGCATAAAAGAATGTGTTGGTCCAAGGGATCATGAGAGCATCCCCTGTCGAACCCAGGCCAATGCTGACACAAGAGCAGACCACCTCGCACACCTTGTTTGTGTGAGCAGCAAACAGGTCTATGTCCGGAGAGTCCCAAGTCCGGAAGAGGCGATGGCAGGTCAGATGATTCCAGTTCCCATTCCCTGCTGAGGGCGTCGGCCTCCTCGTTGTTGGTACTGGCCAGGTGGACAATGAGGAGGGTGATCTCCCTGGGCCTGCACCAGTCCCACAGTTGCATCGCCAGGCGAGCCATGGGGGCGGACTTCGTCCCGCTTCGTTTATGTAGAATACAGTGACAGTGTAGTCGGAGGCAACTTGCACAACGTGTTGCCGGAGAGTGTCCTCAGATGATCGAAGGGCTTTGAAGACCGCCAGGAGTTTGAGGTAATTGATGTGTCTGGTAGTCTCCTGGTGGTCCCAGGTGCCCTGTGTACGGAGACCAGCACATAAGGCTCCCAACCCAGTAAGGGAGGCATTGGTAAACAGGGTCAGAGTCGGGTGAGGCAGACGAAATGGGACGCCTACGGACAGATTGTGCCGCATAGTCCACCACGATAGAGTCTGGAGGATGGAGATCGGAAGGCGGAGGAGACGGTGAGGCGAGTCTCATTGGGGTTGAAACGGTCCATTGAACCACAACTGGAGTGGCCTCATCTGTAGCCTGGTGTGGGGAACTGTGGAGACTGTAGAGGCCATGTGGCCAAGAAGTTTCTGCACCGAGAGTGCTGGAACAGCTCTGTCCTTGTGGATTTAACGGATCAATGAACACAGACTGTCTTGTCGATTTGTGGAAGGAAGGCTCTCGTCAACGAGGAATCGAGACAAGAGAGGTCCAATAAAGTCGATGATCTGTGAGGGAGTAAGGCACAATTTCTCATGATTAATGCATAGTCCCAAATTGTCCAAGAGGGTACAAATAGTCTGAAGTGATGACAGAAGGCCTTCCTTAGACGGGGAGACGATCAGCCAGTCATCCAGGTAGGGTTACACTTGAATGCCTTGGAGCCGAAGATGCGCACACACCGGGGCCATACCTTTCGTAAAAACCCGGGGGGCAGTAGCCAGCCCAAACGGTAGAACGTTGTACTCAAACAGGTCAGAACCGACAGTGAATCGGAGAAGATGCCTGTGAGATGGGTGGTGATGTGAAAATAGGCATCTTTCAAGTCCAGAGAAGCAAACCAATCCTCTCTCCTAAGCAACGGAAGGATATTTTGAAGGGTGGTCATTCGAAATTTCTTGGTTTTGATGAACCTATTGACGCCACGTAGGTCCAGTATCGGACAAAGACCACCATCACGCTTAGGTTGAATTTTTTTTTTTTAGGTTGAATTTTTTTATTTAAATAAAAACATACTACAAAAGTTACAAAAGGCACAAAAAGTGCAACGTTACAAAAATAGAAAAGTACACCATCCAATATTTACAAGGTATCAAAATGCCAAATGTACACACATTTACAGGATTCCAAAACTTTACAAATCAAATTTACAGAAAGAACGTTCTACAGACTTCTCCTTGATAGGTTCATGCCATGCGTCTCACCAAAATTTTCCATGTATGAGCAGTATACGTACATTACGTGATCAGGGCATGAGCCCCACTCAACCACGGCCACAATTTCCTCCACCGACTGGGCGGCATCCTCCCTTTTTCCTCACGGCTCAACCAAAAGATCTTCTCTTGGACAAATTTGACTGAGCCAGCCACGTCAGCCACCTTTCGCATCTTTACTCTCTGTGGCGTTGAAGCGACAGCGCCAACAGAACGTACAGATTAATCAGCCCAATCGTGGACCACGGTACAGTCCAGTACGTCTTGGGAGCCGTGGTCTCTCTCCACCGCTGCTTCCTGGGCACCCTCCTCCTGGGTCCCTTCAATGGAGGAGTGGGTTCTGTGCCAGACACAACCGATTCCCAGTCCTGGGAGCCCAGATCCGGCCAGTCCAGCGCTTCAGACACCGCCTTCCATGTGGCACGTGCCGCGGGGCAATCGCTGACAAAGTGCCTCGCTGTCTCCTTTTGCGCCGTCCCGCTTACGACAGCCCCACTCTTAGGGACCATGAAATATCTTGAGTAGAAGCCGTGGAGCCCCTCAGAGCGTGCAAACTGTTGAATCGCTCCTTTACGAAGAAGCTGCTGAACTTCGTCTGATGACTGAGGCGTAAATCGGATCGGTCCCAGCGGGGGCACGGTATCGAACTCAATTCTGTATCCGTGCTGTATGATGGATAAAACCTACTGATCAGATGTGATGGACTCCCAAATGGGGAGTCGACTTTGCAGCCGATCCCCAAAAGGAAGAGGGGAAGGTGGGTTGAGGAGGAGAGGAGAGGTTCGCTCGTCCCGTCAACGCTGACGTTTGTCAGAGTTGGGGCGATGATGGTTCTGCTGGAAGTGTTGTTCTTGCTTCCGATGCTGCTGGCGGGGCTGGAACCGCTGACAGCCTGCAAATTGCGAGTAGGGGTGGTATCCATAGGGTGGACGAGACCATGACTACTTACGGAGAGATTGGTTAGGAACTTCCATCCAGTGAGCTGTAACCCTCGACTCATGGATAGTCTTCATCTTGTGGTCCGTCTGAGCGTTGAAGAGCCCTGAGCCATTGAAAGGCATGTCTTCAATCCAGCATTTTGTCTCGTCCGGGAAGCTGCAATTCTGGAGCCAGGCATGGCGACAGAGGGCTACAGTGCCGACAAGAGCTCTAGAGTCGGAATCGACATGGTGTCTCGCCGTGAAAAGCTGCTGGACCACCACCTGCATTGCCTCTTTGATGAAGATTTGGGCCAGGGTTTTTTGCTGGTCTGGAAGTGAGGCCGTGATATTTACTAACTTCTGCATTAGAAAATATTGGTATCAAGCCAGCGTGGCCTCATAATTAGAAATACGGAGGCCAAGTCCTGTAGTAGCATAGATACAGCAAGCCAACCTGTCGATCTTACAGCCCTCTTTGTTGCGGGTAGTAGTGTGTCCCCTCGACTCACGTCCTTGAGAAGACTCAACAACGATCATGTTCGGTCTCAGGTGACGCAGGAGGAATGGAATATCCCGCTCACGGACTTGATACATGGACTCGTATCGCCATGAAGTGGGCTGAGGCTGATTGGGGTAGATCCACAGCTCCGTCATTGCCTGGCGAAGAGTAGTAATCAGTGGCAAAATGATGGCGGCAGGATGTTTGCCCTTGACAATGTTGTAGAACTGGTTGGTATTGGGATCGAAGTGGTGCTGGGCCTTGATCTCAAGTGACCGCATAAGCCTCGCCAGCAGTTCCCCAAAGCTTACATAGGGTTCCTCTGGTGAGCTGGGACCCTGTGTGGAGATCACCGATCTGGTGAAGTAGAAGCCACTTTGAAGTCCTCCGAGCCTGAATTGTAGTGAGGCGGGAGGCTAGAGGAAGAGTCGGTAGGCGAAGTGGGACGCCTGGACTGAGCCGCTCCTGAAGTCGAAGGAGCGTCTCTCGGTACCAGAGAGAGGGTATGATCGCACACCGACAGGTAGTAACCAAAAGGTGGATAATCATCCCATGGCTTGCGATAAGCCAGTCTATGGGGTGGCTGAACCCATTCTTCCGAGGGACGAACAGAGGCGCACTGTTGATATTGCATCTGCTGATATTCCCCTGCAGCCTTCGGAGAAGGCTCAAGTGATGGTTGGGGAGTAGGTGAGCGAGCCATTGGAGGAGAGTCCCGAATCTCTCCGTCGGAGATTGATCCTAGCAAGGGAATGTCCCGTTGCTCAGGGGAAGACTGGACGGAAGGTGCAACCCATCTTGGAGACCCAGGTGGGGTCACTTGCATGGCCAACTGGAGGGCCGGGCCGGTCGGTGTTGGTACCGAAGCAGCCGTCGGACTTGATGGGGCGGACGAACCCAAGTCACGGTGTCTGGAATGGTCGGCTTTCTTATGTTTGCAAGCCAACTTATCCGTCTTGTCCTTCTTAGGCTTCTTATGGCCTGAGGACTTGTCCAATCCACTATGCTTCCTCTTCTCCTTTTGCTTATGCGGAGATGCAAAGGAACGTTGACCCTCTGGCAAAGGGGCACCATCAGCTGATGGGCAGGGCGGAGCTGTGGTGGAAGAGGAGGATGGAGGAGCAGATTTGCCTGCCAGTTGGTCCAATTGGAGCAGGGCTTGGTCCCACAAAAGTTTGCGCAGGTGGTTCTCCCGATTTTTCCTCGCCTGCTTAGTAAAGGCCTGGCAATGGCCGCATTTATCAGTCCTGTGCCCTTCTCCAAGACAGAGAAGGCACAGATCGTGTGGGTCAGTAGGTGACATTTTGGACCCGCACTGACAGCACCTGCGGAAAGCCGCACGCTGCACCATCGAGGAAGAAAGCGAAGATAGCAAGGTAAGGAGAAGAAGAGTGTGTGTGTGTGTATGTATGTGTGTGTGTGTGTGTGTGTGTGTGTGTATATATATAGAAACAGGGAAAAAGGGAGAATTGAGAAAGAAAACTTCTAACAGGGAGGGAAAAACTTGGAATCGTAACGTCTAAGAAGATAATAGCAACTGGATAAACATGCACAAACTGAGAGACGAAAGGCTCGAGGCACAGCGAACAGCGGTCGCAAGAAGACTGAGGAAATGGTGGGCACTCCGCCCTTTTATACTGTACGGGGGGAGGGGTGCGGAGTTCCTGCCAAAACCGTTAAGCTTTAAATCTTTCCAGCCATAGGCACTGCGCAGGCGCAGCACCCATGTGTGTGATGCACAGAGGCCATGACGAAGAACGGATTATGTTGAAAGCTTCCAAACTTGCACAGTTCCCTTCTAGTGGCAAACATTCAAATGCATTCATTATGCATGAAATAGCATTTTTTCACATATCCAAAGTGAGTTCTACCTGAATGGTTAATTTTACTCCAGGTGCAAAGATACTGAAAGCAGAAAACAACATCACCACCACCAACAGAGCATGTTTTTAAAAAGCATTTTACGGAGTCACCTAATGTGTCTGTCCATAACCTTTCACACCTGGAGGATTACAGGCATCCAGCGGAGGATGGGATGAGCAGAGGCATGGATCGCCTCCACACCTGCCCTGCCCTCCAAGGCACTTAGATGACTAATTCCAGTTTCCTGAGGGCTTTACCCTTGCTTGTGAAGAGGAAAGGCAGAGGCATCACTGAAATTCTTGCATTCTGGTGTAGCCTTGCTCCTCCCCTTCCTCCCCACTGCAGCTCTGAAGATGCACGTGCGGCTCTGGAACCACAGCTGCCACAGAAAGGACTGTGCCAGCTTTTGGGGGAACATGACATCAAATATTCCTAAGGATCATCTAGCAACCAAAGGATCAGGCCCCTAATCAGTGAAGGGCTCGTATTTATTATTATCTAAGCACAGGGATTATTGTGAGAGTTTTGCGAGAGAACTCTTGGTCTTTCAAACAGCTGGAATTCAAATTAAGATGCCACAAGCATCCAAAACAGCATGGGAAGAGTGGCCCAAGTGACCTCCCCTTCCCTGCTTGTCCCCTGCCCCAGCTCTGCAAATAGTTGATTAGCCTGATGTACTTCAGAGAGGCAGGGAAAGAACACAGAGTGCTATCAGGATATCTCATACCTTGATTGCCCAAGTCTCCTCTGCACCATGTCTTCTTCCCCACCTCCTTCCCCACCTCTTCAAAATCACTTTTCCAGTCCTAGAGAAGGTTCTTTCACCACGGTTCTTTCTGCACTGGCAGTAGGATGGGGGAAGGACGATTAGGGCAGGAGACCTCAGCTTTGAGGTCACAGCTTTGTTTCTGACCTTGGATTTCAAAGGATCCCATGAGGTTCTAAACACTATCTAGGGGCAATAGGATTGTTCTCTTAAGGTGAAATGTTTGCATGTCCTTTTATATATGATTTTCTCCACACTGTAATTGGTCTGTGTGTGTGTGGGGGGGGGGGGGGAAGAGGGAGAGAGGCAATACATTATCTATTCATCTTGACCAGTCCATACTAAATTAGAAGTACTATCCCTGGATGTGGATTCACAAGGAAGGACAAATGCAATAGCTGAAGGAGGAAAACCTGGGTATAAGGTACAAAAGTCTCTGGAGGACTGAGGGTTCTTGTTAGCTTTGACTGAGGTTAACCTGATGCCAATGTAGAACTTAATCATCACCATTACCAAGGAGGGAAGGGTGAGGAGTTTCCAAAGGGAGGGGCTGGGAAAAGGACAAAATTCTGCAGCCTCCTTCCAATCTTTTAACAGCAACTAAAGGATCTCTGCAATTACTTCAGCACTGGGCACATGATATTTCTGAAATGATGATGTTCCTTCAACAAAAAGCACACCCATTGCTTAAGAGCAATATGCCAGTGAAGATGAAGTTGAAAAAATAACTGTTGCGATGAAAATTAAAACCTAGATTCTTGTCCAAGCCTGTCTGGCTGAACATTAGCAAACTGCAGGGGCATGAGAATTTTGTGGGAACATCATATACTTACCAAAAACATGGAATCCTAAAGTACAAGTGTAAGTAACCCATTCTATGTCTCTAGTGGTTTCAACACTTACTACTTGTTTACAAGCTGAAGGAACCCCTAGAGAAAGAGAGAGAGAGAGAGATAACATCAATTATAGAGAGGTACAAGAATCAAATAGGGGTTCAACAATAAAATGCCACAATCCTTGGCATGCTTACCCAAGAGTAAGTCCCACTGAACTCAATGAACTTACTTCTGAGTGGAAAGTATAGGATTGTGCTTTTAAAAGACTAAATATATGTCTCTGCTTTGGTTTGTTCTTCATATTAGGAATCCACTGGTAGCCAAGAATGAACTCTGTGCCAAGGACAGAATATTATTTGTTACTCACAGTATAGGATTTCATAGTCCCCTGAATTAGACACGAGGTGCTGAGAATTAGCAGACCAGTCCAAGTGAGTAATGAAGCTGGAATGACCCTGTGAAAAGATGCATTATATTAATTCCAACAACATAACATCCCCCAATAGAAATACACAAATACATATAAAAGGCTACATGGAAAGGTACACTGAAGGCTTGTTTATATTAAAAATCAGTGGATGACCTGCGTCTGGGAACAACCCAGAATTGCACTGGAACTACAGGCTCCAGTCCCAAATTCCATGCACTCTCTGGGTGTGGTAGAAAATAGTGGTGTATGACTATGCACATTCAGCGCACACATTCTAAAAGCAGTGTGCATGTACATAAGCACATGTACTGGGAGTGCAGGAGGAATGTTTCCACCCAAAGCTGTCTTAGGCTACAAACTGAAGCATGCAAAGCAGTAGACATCAATAAGAAATATGCCTTTGCAATTCTAAAAGCCTCTCTTTAAACTAGCAGAATCATCAGGGAAACTGGGTGCTCCCCTTATAAGTCCCTGGGCCTCACATGCTGCTACAAAATTAAAGAGTTAGTGGCCTGTTTGTTGCAACCATCTTTGCTGTATCACTTCCTATTTTAAACAAGAAGCCAGCCAGCAGTCAATGGTTCAAATTTTGGTTGCTGGAATGTAACTGAAACCCATTCCCATCTATTGGAATCACAGAGCTGGAAAGGATCTTGGAGATGATCTAGAGCTCTGGCTATTGGGCGAAATACAAATGTGGCAAATAATCAGCCTTCTGCTCAATGCAATGCAATGCCGGATGCAGTCACAGCATCCCTTGACAGATGCCCAACCCTTCCTCCATTTAAATACTGCCAAATGAAGGCCTTTCTGCTCCCACTGGAATGCTGTGCGTTCCACTGCCAAGCAATCCTCACCATGGGACATTTCTTCTAACACTTGTTGAAAACATGCCTCCCTGCAATGTCCAGCCACAGGTCCTAGTTCTGCCTCTGCAGTAACCAAGAATAGCTCTGCTCAACCTTTTGCCTGACAACCTTCCAACTATGTGAAGACTTCCATTATGTCTGTCCTTAAACTTGTCCTATCCCAATACCCAGCATTTTCAATTTTTCTGCACAGGTCTTAGTTTCCAGGGCTTTCACCATTTGGATTGCTCTTCTTTGAAAAAGCTCTGGCTCATAGGTCCTCAAACTATGGCCCGCAGAATGGATCCATCTGGCCCATGCTGCTGTTCACAGCCCGTGGGCACGCTTCCTGCGCAGGTGGGGAGGTGGTGACTCGCTCGCTCAGGGATGTTCTCCGAGTGGGCAAGCCGCCACCGCCGCATGCCTCCCGTACGCGCATGCTTGAAGATGGCCTCTGAGCGAGCAAGCCGCCACTGCTGCCTGCCTCCCGTACGTGCATGCTAGGAGTTGGTCTCCGGGAGAGCAAGCCGCCACCTGCCTCCTGTATGTGCGTGCTTGTCACTGCCTTGCAGTGCAGGCGGGGAGGTGGTGGCTTGCTCGCTCAGAGATGGTTTTGGACTTGCTGGGAGATCTCCGAGTGAGTGAGCCACCGCTGCGTGTGCCCGATGCCGCCTCGTGCACACCCAATGGCACCTCACTGGCCCGCACCCCCAGGCACCCCCACTTCACCGGCCGGTGATGGTTACCGCAGGCTTTCAACTGGCCCCCTATTCAAAAAGTTTGAGGACCCCTGCTCTAGCTTGTGAAGGTTCTCCCTGAAATGTGGAGCTCAGAACTGGAGAGAGTACACTGCAGTGTGAGCTGATTCACTATTCAATATCTGGCCTTTGAGTTTCAAGTTGATCCTTCTTACCTTAAAGGAAGCATTCCTAACTATGAAAAAGACAGAGTATGCAAAAGGTATCAAGAATACAAATTCATTTTCTTTAATTCATCCTTGTTCTTAAAACTGCATTGCATTTAGTGAATTGTTAGAACTGAAACTTCAGACAGATTCTGTAAACATTTGTAATCCATAGAAATAAAACTATGTTGTTGTACCTACAAATCCAAGTCTTCTAGCAATAAACACAGAAACAAAGTAATATTCCAACTAATTTCTAGGCAGTAATGCTAGGGAAAGACGCATCAGAAGAACAAGGGAATGAGATCAGAAGAACAAATAGGAGATGGATCGATTCCATAAAGAAAGGCACAGCCTCGAGATTACATGAGCTGAGCAGGGCTTTTAAGGACTGGATACTAAGAAGGGCATTCATAGGGTCGCCATAAGTCAGAGATGGTCTGATGGCATGTGACAACCACAAAACAAAGTGATCACTTACTGAGCATTTGCCAATTCTACTGTATTTCCTTCCACTGTCGTTAACACTGTATATATAAATACAATTGTCATGAGAACCTATTGCCAAGTAATTGCCATCTGCAAAAAATAAACAAAATACAGGTATAAGCATTATGAAGTGGTAGTGGAAGCACTCAATGCATTTATAAACATGTAAAATTCAGAAAATTTTCATTTTATTATTTACTAATTACATGAGACAACACAAGGGAAAAACTGAATAAACCAGGGTAAAGATCTTGTGCTCCTGCAAGAATCCCTCCATGTAGCTAAGCCATCTGAAAAGCTTTGTTCTGAGGGTTGTACACATCCTGCCTTATCCCAATGGCTGAAAGAGGAAGCTCACTGTAGTGGAGGCACAGCCATGTGGGACAGCTCTTTCGTGTGTACAGCTGCATTTGTATTCTCATAGCTCTAGGGGTCATGAGGGAAAGTGTTTCCTCAGTGCTGCTAAGGACAGACTGCTTGAGAGGGCTTTTGAGAGGTCATCTATAAATTCAAACTTATGGGCTGTGAATCTGTGCAAAGCAGTTGTCCAAAGCTTTGTATAAATGAGCACAGACTTAGTAGGAGCTCCACCCACCCTCCCTGCAAATGCCCTAGGAAAGTGGCAGAAAACCTATGGCACATGTGCCACAGCAGGTGTCCAGGCTTGGTTTTGATGGATGGAATGAGTTTAGAAAGTGCAGAAATGTTGAGCTGTACAAAAAATCCTGCAAAAGGGAGGCTTTTTCAAAAGCACCCTATTTTCAGTGGAACTTTACCCCTGTGCTAGGGTTAGGGTTGTGCACCAGGGTAGGGTTAGGGTTAGAAGAACGAGGTGTCCTGGCATGGTTTTGACGGTTGCAATGTGTTTAGACTGGGCAGAAATGTTGAGTTGTGCAGAAAAAACTGCTCAAGGAAGGCTGTTTCAAAATCACCCTGTTCTCAGTGGAACTTCAACAGTCTTGTACGGTTAGGGGTCGCCACCAGGGTAGGGTTAGGGTTAGAAAAACGAGGTGTCCTGGCATGGTTTTGATGGTGGCAATGTGTTTTGAATGGCCAGAAATGTTGAGCTGTGTAGAAAAACCTGCTAAAGAAAGGCTTTTTCAAAATCATCTTATTTGGAGTGGAACTTTACCCTTGTGTTAGGGTTAGGGGTGGGGATCAAGGTAGGGTTAGGGTAAGAAAAACGAGGTGTCCTGGCATGCTTCTGATGGTTGCAATGTGTTTAGAATGGCCAGAAATTTTGAGCTGTGTAGAAAACTTGCTCAAGAAAGGCTTTTTCAAAATCTCCCTATTTTCAGTGGAACTTTACCCCACGGTTAGGGTAAGGGGTGGGCCTATGTATAGGGTTAGGGTTATAAAAAAGAGCTGTCCTGGCATGGTTTTGATAGTTGCAAAGTGTTTAAAATGAGTAGAAATGTTGAGCAGTGCAGAACAAGCTGCCCAAGGAAGGCTTTTTCAAAATCGCCCTATTTTCAGTGGAGCTTTACCCCTCAATTAGGGTTAGGGTTGGGCACAAGGGTAGGGTTAGGGTTGGAAAAACGAGGTGTCCTGGCATCGTTTTGATGGTCGCAATGTGTTTACAATGGCCAGAAATGTTGAGCTGTGCAGAAAAACCTGCTTAAGGAAGGCTTTTTCAAAATCGCCCTATTTTCAGTGGAACTTTACCCCTCTCTTAGGGTCAGGGGTGGGCACCAGGGTAGGGTTAGGGTTGGAAAAACGAGGTGTCCTGGCATCGTTTTGATGGTCGCAATGTGTTTAGAATGGCCAGAAATGTTGAGCTGTTCAGAAAAACCTGCTTAAGGAAGGCTTTTTCAAAATCGCCCTATTTTCAGTGGAACTTTACCCCTCGATTAGGGTTAGGGTTGTGCACCAGGGTAGGGTTAGGGTTAGAAGAACGAGGTGTCCTGGCATGGTTTTGATGTTTGCAATGTGTTTAGACTGGGTAGAAATGTTGAGTTGTGCAGAAAAACCTGCTCAAGGAAGGCTGTTTCAAAATCGCAGTAGCAGCAATTGATATTATTCTGCATAGAAGCATAAAGGATGTACCTAACAAAATGGAATATATAAAAACAAGATGCAAAAGTTAAATTGCTAATATCCTTGCGAAATAAAATGATCTCTTTGCACTGAAAACAATACCAAGTAGGAGCCACGTGCTCCTCTTTGGGGAGCTCATTCCCCAGCCTGGTTGCCACAATTGTAAAGGGTCTCCTCCTTGTATACACCCACCCCTTTGTATACACTTTTTTTGGAAGGGCCTCCTCAAGAAGGACTCCCAGAGATGACCCCGGGGTCCAGGAATGTTCATACGGGAGGAGGTGATCCTTCTGGAGGTGATCCTTTTATAAGGTGATCCTTTTATAACCTTTAAAAATATATTCACTGTTAAAGATGCATACCCTTTATCTCCAATAATTAACCATGTTGAACAGCACTTCCATTGTATAAATGTCATGTCTTTTTGGTTTAAACAACTGAAAAAACAATGCCAAACCTGGTGAGTAACGCATTGTGGACAGCTGTTCATTTCCATCTGTGTGTACAGTGACCAAATCTTTTGTTTCGGTGTCAAACACAAACCACCTGTTGAAAACATTAGGAGGAAAAGTCAATGAGTTGTTTCATTTCAAAGGGGGTAAGATCCCTGCAAAGTGTTTCGTTTGTTTGTTTCAAGCTTTTATAGACCATCACAATATCCACAAGGCTCTCTGGACGGTTTTGCTAGATCAGACCCGTGATCTATCGAGCTCCACATGCTGCTTCCCAGAATGTCCAACCCATTCCATTTGGGAAGTACACAGACAGTATTTGAAGACCAGAATCCTCTCCCACTCCTCTTTGCCAGCAACTATTACTTAGGCGCAAGCTGCCTGGGAGTCACCTGGCTCCATTGAGCCAAGCATCAGAGCTAATACTGCCACTGACAGACCATTCCTCCATCAATTAGCCCATATGTGTTATGCACAGAGACCATGAAGAAGGGAGAAAAGCTTCTATTTCTGCACAGGGTGGGTTGTATCTGCTGGTGGAACAGAAAATAATGGTGGAACGAATTTTTGCCTTCTCTGCAGCCTCTCCAAATCTGTTCTAAAGGACTGGCACACACAGAAGGCTGTAGTAGGGAGAAAAGCCAAGGCATGGTCGCTACTAAACTTCATTTTCTATTTCCCTGACATCCCGATTGCCTTTTGTCAATTTCCTTGCCCCTCTTTCAAAACTAAGTTAAAAGAATTCCTAGGTTATGTTATATTAAATAATGATGTTATGAAAGAGTTTAAAACTATGCAAACACTGAAAGGCATTTTATTTATTCATTTGTCTTTTCTAGAAAGGAACCTCAATATGAACTTCTTTCAACATTGTTAACTAAAAAATGCATTTGATTTTAAATTGCACAAAAAGTATTCCAAGATGGAAATTTCAATAAGAGTGATGCATAACCAAAGAAAAAATAGCAGAACATTTTTCTCTTGTTTTTAAACTACACTAAAAAGTATTTATATGCTGAAATTTCACTGAGAATTTCTATCAGAATGGCATAACAGAAGCCATACTATGAACTTTATACTTCTGAAATTGTAATAAAAATCAAGTTAGAAACAAGAGTACAACTATTCTCTAAAAATTATTAAATAATAATAAAATTCTCTATAATAGCATAATATTATTACATGCAGGTATTCTGCTGCTTCTCTATGTGAACTCCCTCAAGTGCAGACTGCCTGTTTGCAGTGGCATCTCAAAAAAATCCTTTATTAAATTTATATTCCACTAATCTCAGGACTTTCTACAAGACACACATAATCAAAACAATAAGTGACAACAAAACAATATAATAACATACATAATATAACAGTCAACTGATAATAAACAGACATACATAAACACAAACTGCAACAATATAATATACAAATCTCTCTATAGAAAAATGAATGTGTGAGATGCAGCATGAATAGGTTTTTGGTCCGTGAATATCTGGCTTGGTCATCAATGTGATGGCTATCAACTGATGCCCAGGATTCAAAGAATGGTGAAAGTAAGTTCATAGGATGTTTAAAATTGTTTTTCTTGAACAGCAATCCCTCCATGCTGCATGGTAAACTGCTTTGGAAACTGTTGTGTCAAAAACTTTGCAAGATAGTTGGGGGGATCAGTTATGCAAAGAAGAAAAAAAATACAACAATTGCAGTAGGATAACTGAAGCAGCTCTTCAGATGAAAGCAAGTAGGACAACAGCACGAAACTCCCTTCTGCTGTAATTCACAAAAATAAGGTAACAAAACTATTTTCATATTTTAAGATTATTCTTGTAGAATGTGTTAAGCAATGTGGACAAATCTAATGGCAGAATTTCAATCCAGGTTTTATTCACTGCTGTCTCTCTCCTGATGCAAGGTGCTTTGATCTGGCAGGGGAAGGATTCCTCCTGCTGCTGCAGGCCCATGTGCCACTTTTCAGTGTTCTGAAGGGTTGCCAAACATTCCAGGGCAGATTGCAGAAAACTACTTCCTCCCATTACACTCATCAAAGTCAACAGAGGGACAGCACATAGTACAATCCTCTATATTTACATATTGTTTAAAAGTTGATAAATGCTTATTCTTATATGGCAAACATATGTATTATCTAGGAATACGCATCGTCCCAACTATTGTTTTTCATTCTTACCTCCCAGTTAGCGTTCCTACTGCAACTACAGATCCTGAAGGATGAAAACCAGAGGACTGTGCAGGATCCTGTAAAGTTTCAAAGGGATTATATATCTACAGCAACAATTGCAACAATTGATAACAACAAATAATTCAAATAGCTACTCAGTACAAGCTAGACCATTTAATTCCCTACACAGGAAGATTTATAAGTTCTTGTAAGGTATTAAGGTTCCAATGTACTAGGCAAATTCTTTTGGAAAGGAATGTGATGAATGCCTAAGCAGAAATTGATTTTATTTATTTATTAATCTTGTATTTCACACTAATAGTTCCATAGGACTGTCTAGATTGTAAGCTTGTTATTTACAGAGGCAATGTCTCAAAGCTGCAAAATCAGCCACCAAGGGCCATTTTGCCCTTTGAACATGAAGAACAAAAAGTTAATTTTAACAGAACTACTGAAATATGGAAGTGAAGGAAATCATACTTAAGTAAAGAATATTTTGCCTTAAAAATGTAAGGTATGCTAAAACTAATAAAAATATACAGAACACGTATCCAAGAAATTATACTGAATACATTTGGCTAAAATGTAGGGTTACTGGCCCTGTAAAATAATATAAATTGCTTCAAATCAGAGTATTACATAATATGATTCAGATATATAAAGGAACACACAGAATAATACTCACAATATGAATACAAATAAATACAGATCGCCATAAAATACATTCACTGTGTAATTCCTTGAAAAGAACAAGAATTAACGTCAAAGCATTCTTTGTGTCTGTTTTGCAGAGAGGAGAATTTTCAGGCAAGTCTCATGCAACAACCTCATTGCTTGATTTTACAGGCAATTGTATTGGGAAGCAGGTAGCTATGTTGCTTCCCGGGCCTGAAAAATCTGTCTCCATGTACTTCTATAGAAAGAGCTCTTCAAAGACAGGGCCAGCCCTGAAGCATCTGAGCCCCACAGTGGGGGAGGACAAAAGAGTCTCTCCTTACTCAGTACTCCTCTGAGAATGCTAGTTTGGATGTTCAGCTGAAGTGACTATGGCTATCGCAATCTTCACTTCCGTTGTTCAGAGATAGCCTGAGATGGCATTCAGGTCATGCACTGTTGTATGCTTACTGTGTGAATAATCTAACATGCAAATATACCCTGAGCGATAAGAGTGGGAAGCAAGGGGAGTGAGATAAAGAGTGACCTGAACTTTCTTGGAAAGTTTTGGTTAAATAAATTTTAATTCCCTTTGCTTGTGTTTCTATTCCTTCCATTTAGTAAAAGTCATTTTTTTCAACCAGTTCTTATGGCCACTACTGAAGAGAGCATTAGGTATGCTTAAATCCATTGATTTCAACTGCCTTTGTCTTATACTGGCTGGGTTCACATAACACACTAAACAACCTTGAGCTGCTTCCACGGTGCACAGATTTTTGCCCAAACATACGGGTCAGGTTATCATGTGGTTTCCCAGGCAGCGAGGTTTCTGCACTCACTGTGCTGTCCTCCCAGCCTTGCCACACATCCCAGCAGCTCTTATAAGCCAAGTCCCTGTCCTTTCCCTCATCTTACCCATGGACTGCAGCAGCTTCTTCCTGTTTGGTCTGCTGTAGCCCTGAGGCTGGTTCCCCCTTTCCCATTCCTGCATATCGGCAACACTTCCCTGCCATTTCAGTCCCCACATAGATTTACATTTATTTATTTAAATTAAATGAAATATTAAATGAAAACATGCTGTTTTACCACCATTTCCTCCTTCTCCCTCAATGTATTTCTGTGTTGCCTCCCTTTTCAAAAAATAAACAGAGAAACAGACACATCTCATGGCTAGAGGGGAACAAAGTAAGCAGTGACACATCTGTTGCTAGGAGCTGAGGAGAGTAAAGGCTGAAGGCTTGAAGCGGCCACTTCTATAGCCAATCTTGCCAGGGACTCTGTGATCTTTCAAAACCAGCAATAGTAAAATAGCAATCCCAGACTAGAGTAACTAAATAAGCTGCAGTGAAACATGGGATCCTTAAAACAGACTGTTGGTTCTCTCCATGAGTTCAAAACATTAATCCTTCCATGCAAGAACTCCAGAACTGAATCTGGATGACCCAACAGCTCCACAACAGTAAGATTTTATAAGCTCCTCATGTGATATGAAACATGAAGGCAGTGTGAAATCAGGAACACAGGGGTGACCCTTAGTGCTAAGATGTGTGAAGCATGTGCTAAGGGTATAGCATCCCATTTCCAGCTCTATCCAATCTGTGGAAGCTAGAGGGCAGGGCCAGTGGAAATATTCCGGCTCCTATTAACACACTAGATTTGGACAACTTCCAGGGCAGTGACAGAGGAAAAAGGTAAATTTTCAAACAAGGTGTGGCTGCAACATCAGCCACAGCCTGATGACCCCAGCACCAAACAAATGTGTGGAGTGTGAAACAGGTCAACAGATTGCAGCACAATTCTGTGTTAAGAGTGAAACCTAAGCATGTGAAACACTTTAAACACTTAGGGGTAGGCAAACTGATAGTCTAAAATGTCTGCAGATCACAGTACCCATAATCACTGATCAACATCCATGCTGATTGGTGCTGTGGGCATTATGCCTTCCAGATTTTTATTTATTGTTGAACAGTTATTTAATTTTTTTCTTATTGTTGAACTTGCCAAAGAAAGCCACCTCACAGAATAAGTATTGGCTGCTTCATGTGATGACATGAGAGAATTCTTTCCAAAACAAATTCATTTAATGCCATTCCTTCTATTTCACTTATTCAAGTAGTCAAAATAGCACCATCTGTGCAGTAAAGAAATGTATCAGTAGACTTAATGAGACCCCAAGATTGCAGAAATACAAAAAACTCTTAGGAGGGCAAAAAACCCACAGAAGGGAACCTCCGAAACTGCTCAATAAGGACCGAACATACTCAGTGAACACAGAATGCCAAATGATGGTTGGGGAAGAAAACAATGGGAAATAAGGGGGAAAGAGAATGCAGTGGAGTGCTCCATGAATTTGGGCTGACTGGTGGGAACTTGGGATAATCAACAATATCACCCATCAGCTCTGGTCAGTCTCACCAATGCTTATGGATGGTGGCAGATGTAGATCCAAATGGCTAAAACTCCCATCTAGCCTACATCTGTTCCCATCTGGCCAAGAACCTCCATCACCCCTCACCGTTGGCTAGGGCAGCTAATGGATGATGTAGGGCAAAATATATGGAGGGCCACAATTCCCCCACTCCTGACCACCATAGAGAGATCTGATTTAGCACAATTATTTTATCTGTATTTACTAAACAAAGCAAAAAATATTGAAAAAGTGTGCCTGGTGTTAATTTTTTATTTCAATACTTTGCAAGTATTGACTTCAAATAATGGAAGGGGGAAACTAAACCATATTTAAATATGCTTTAAATATCAACATATACTTCTCTTATATTCTTTAAAGTTAAAAATAAGAAAGTTACTAAAAAAAAGTTGTCACACACTAATTAATCTGAGAAACATGAAGAAATAAGCATGATATGCTGAACTATACAAAGGTATCAACAGAGGTCAATTTTTTCCCACTGAGGTTGTTGATGCTCCTTCAGTTTCACTGCCATTATTACTTAAATTCAAGTCTGAGGCATATCTGGATTTCAATGCACCCTGTCAAATATTTGCTAAAGATAATCACCTTAAAAATAGTTACAATGTTGGAACTGTCAGACTCACCTAATATGGCATTTGGCATACATTTACTTTTATTAATGAACTTAAGAAATGGAAGAATAAACCCCACTCCACATAACTGCATAATACCATATCTAAAAGTCAGCCCTTAATGATATCCTCAACAATTTCACAACAGAAACGGCATTTTTATCTTCATTCTGATGCAATATAGCCCAATTTATTAGTACCACTCAAGTACCAAACTGTGTTTACAGTTATTTTTATGTTTATGAAATGTTTAATGTTTAATATTGAGATATTTATTTAGCAAATTGAAGGCATTCTTAATTCTTCATAGAACCTGGAAGGCCTTTCTTATCAGCATAAAATGGAACAGGCTAGACTGAAATTTAGTATCACTGAACTGAATAGTAACCTCAGAAGAGCTTGAGACTCAACAGGTAATTGCCACTTGGATGCATGCCTGTACAGTGCTGCTCAGCATGGGATTTCAAATGCTAAGAGTCTCTTAAGTTGAAGCATACCATTCTTGAAATAAAAACTACTCCTGTCATCAGACTCGCTGTGTGTAATGTCATACTTGCTCATACTGCATTTGGCTTATGCTCTACAAAGAGGTCAAGTAGTCTACAGAAGACAGACTTGAAAGCCATTATCACTGGATGAATTGAATGAACCATCTCTATCCAATCTTTGTAACACCAAAGAGTATCTCTGTAGTCACAAGGCACTCCCTTTGTTGAGGGAACAGTGAGAAAGTTTAGGGATTTCTACAAAGAGTTTTCAGGATTCTCAGCAAACTACATTTCCCAGCATTCTTTGGGAACACTATGCTAGATAACCTGATGTAAAACCAATATAAACTAGCAGTGCATGTAGCCCTGGGAAGCACAGACTGAAAAACCACTTTCAGGCAGTACAATTAATTAAGACTTCTGGCTATATTGGAGATATATTTGAACATAAAGATTATTGCAGAAATAATTTACCATTCAGTATTGAATCTGAAGTGTAACTTTGGCATCATTCAGAATTTTCAACAACTGGCATTCCAAGTAATTTTTTGCATGGGTGAGATGCAGAAAATTATGCCAAAATGGGTGAATGTCATGAAAGAGCAAAAAACACTTTCATGAAATACATGTTTTTCTCAGCAGCTGCAATTTATAAGGTGATCTCTGAACAAGTTGCTTTCATAACCATCTCAGCAAAATATTCCTTACATATAAGAATTGCTCCAAAAGTTAAAGTTTGGCTATTGGGAAATACAGAAATGTAATGAATAAATAGTCTATAGATGGAAATTGTTAAATAGGAATTGACTCCTAGTCCTAACCCTAATTCTTGGTGCTCTACTACATCAATTCCCTTTATTCAAACATAGTAATACTAACAAACATTAACTCTTCTACAAGACTAAAAAAGCGCCTTATTTTTTTCAGTATTCAAGGGCCAGCTCAGATAACTATATATATGTTTCACAAACAAACAAACAAGAGTAGCTTGTACCTCTATAGTTTTGTTCCAGATTGGACGGTGGCTGATGGCATCCCAGAGGGTAATGTGTTTGTCCTGCCCACAAGTAAAAAACTGAGGTTTGGAGGGATGGACTGTTAGTCCCCAAAGCTCATCAGTATGACCCTGAACAAATAAAGCAATATTTCATCAGTAGATTACCAACAATATACTGAGGCCACAATCACATGTCACTGTAAGCCAGGAATCCTGGCTTATTAAAACATGGTGTACATGAGTTGTGCGCTGATGGATAAAAACACTTCTGTCCTAAATTGCTATTATAACTTATTATGTCTAAAGAAGCCAATTTCATAAACCAGCTTTAAACCAGTGCTTCCAATGGTTACGAATCCTGGTTTGTATGGGATGTGAACAATCCTAGTTAAGCTAAACTATCCATGTTTAGTTTGTTTAGTGCAAGTGGAATCAAACTGACTGCATGCATTTGCACACGCTGTGGTTGAATAAGCTAAGATTCTTGATTTAAAATGACATGTGAAGATAACAGTGCTTTATCTAATACATTTTAGAATTCTACTTTTTTCCCTTTAATCCCTATTCAATCTATTTTCCATAAAGGATTGCCTAATCCCTTTATCCTCATCCCCAACCAAAATGAAATCAATCTATATTGAATCTATATCAATCTATCGGCAGCAGAAGCCCTCCTCCGGGAACCCTCTGTGAAAGATATTAGGAGACAGAGTACCCAGAGGAGGGCCTTCTCTGCAGTGGCGCCCTATGGAATGTGCTCCCCAGAGAGATCTGCCTGGCGCTGTCATTATATGTTTTTCAGCAGCAGGTTAAGACCTTTTTATTTAATCAATATTTTAATAAGTTTTAATATTGAATTTTATCATCATATTTTAATTGCAGCCAGAGTGAGTCAACAAATCTACTCTGCTCTAAATAGGACAAACATTAGATAGAATTCTTTGGTCTTTAAATACTCAAAGAAGTAATTACCTGGGTGATGGGAGAAAAGTCTCCTGAAAGAGAGCCTTGTAGAACAAAGTTTCGAGTTGTGCCTATCAACACAATGTCGCCTTTCCCCTCCGCTATTGTTCTTATTGGTCCAAACTGCTCTGGAATCTATGTTTTAAATTAACAAAGTTTAATTAAGTCACAGGATAATTTTTCTAATTTTTGTTTTCTACTGTGCTGATAAAAAGATACATTTTTCTTTTGATCAGATTTATGTTGATGTGAAAGAACCATTTCCTTTTCCACAGAGACATGTGGCATGCTTCCAGACAAGGGTCTGATAACACCATTACCCTGAGTCATACAAAAAATTTGACAGGGTTTCCAGATGCCACCTTTCATTCCTAAATCTCCCATATTTTCCCATGGATTCTTCTGCCTTTTATGTTACATCAAAAAAAATGCATTACAGGAAAAAATGGAATTTCTGTACAATATCTGTGTAGCACTGGGAGCCTTGTCTGGAAGCACCCTGAAGGTACATGTAATACTCACATAAGACACCTAAGCAGAAATAGGCAATCACTTAAAAAGCTCTAGAGAGCACCTGTCACTGCTGCTGACTCTTTCCTAGTCCCCAAGGAAAAACAAATAAACAACAACAACAAACACCTTTCAGGAAATAGAAAGGAAAGATACTGGAGGTAGGCTCTCTTCAACATGCAGAGCACTGCTTCAGGATAGTGCTTTGCTTACAACTCTGAGGGTTCCTAGTAGGAACTAATGCTTTCTGCCACATTTGCCTGTGAGAAGCAGCACCCAGCCCATCTGTCCCCGGGCGACTACCCCATGGCCCAGTAGAAGGAAAGAGTCTTCTCCTCTTGACTAGCTCAGGCACTTAAGCCAATAAAAAAAAACCCAAACAATTCCTTTTGTTCAGGGAAGCACATCCAGCCGCTGAAAGGGAAAGGCTCTGTTAATGTATGTCACTGTATACAGATGTAGCCCTAAAGCCGCTGCTGCTGCACCAGGCCAAGAGCTGCCAGCTCCAATGCAGAAATCAGCCACTGCAACGAGAAGCCAACAGCAGTGCAATGATTAAAAAAAAATAGCGGGACACAGAGGCTCCGGGTGGCACACCCCAAGCTCTACAGTTGGAACTGCCCCGTCACTCCAAATTTATCTTTAGCATTCATGGTAGAGTAGAGCCATGTCTAAAATAAATGATCATCTGTAACACTTTAAATTTTAATAGACAAAATGTTTCTAAGCAAGAATTGGCTTCTCCAGGCTGGAATCAAAGGATCAGAACCAAAGTTCCAATATGGAGTTTTAAATATACACCACAGAGTTACGCACAACTCAAGCCTTCGCTGTTGGGGGCAGCTTATGTAAACAGTGTGGCTATACAGAACCATTCCTCAGCTCTGAAGAAAACTGGAGAACTCCTTGCTTGAACTGAACTCTGCACATGCATTGTAGCTTTAAATTAGGTCCCAAAGCCTTTTGAGTTGCCCAGGATGACAGTAGCACACACACTTTGAATGCCTCTTTTTCTATCAGGAAAAAAAACAGATTTCACATTGCACTGTCACATGACATTAACAAATATTATCTCAGGGTCAGTTCCTCTGATCTGGGTGCATCATTTAAAAACGTAATGTTAGAGCAGAGGAAAGTGCTGGGCAAATATCTAGGATGAATACCAAAGTTTACCTATCTTCTTCAAACAGATGCACTGCATGACCCTTCAGAGGTTAAGTTTTCATTACTCTTTGGGCATGGGCATTAGTCTTGAAAAACACAATAACTTCATAAGGGAATGAGCACTTTGAGTGCTCAAGCCATAGAAGAAAAATGATCAATCTCTTTTAAAACAGAAATGCAAAGAGATTAATTCTAAGGGCTCAGTGACATCACCTCGGTTTTGTGGAGTTTTTGGTAATTCCCATTCCAAGATATTAACTTTCTGTCTTTTCCACCTCCAGATACAAGTGTACCATCCCGAAGCATACAAAGTGCAAAGATGCCACCTTCGTGGGCTCCTTGAACAACAGAGCTTATTCTGTTGGTACCTAGATAAAGGGAAAAAGAAGTTATTTTTATAGCATCTTTCCGTTAGTTAGTTAGTTAGTTAGTTAGTTAGTTAGTTAGTTAGTTAGTTAGTTAGTTAGTTAGTTAGAAGGCTTCTATGCCGCCCCATTCGCCGAAGCCTCGGGGCAGCTCACAAAAGTTCTTTCCCTTTTCACAGTTGTGAGGCTGGCATTGCTGCCACTGAAATATACCTTTGGTTTGGGTCTATGGATGTTTGCACATGAGACTTTTATTGTGCAATTGCTCTTCCTCATTGATGGAAGTCTACAGCTCGTCCAGATCATGTCTTCCATTCATAACCCCTCATGTTCTCTTTTTTACAAGAAAAAAGGCTCATACTATTGCCTTCTAGGATTATACCAGATGTTTACTAGTGAGAACTTACTGCATGAAAGAGGAACTTTCAGAGAACAAAAATATTCTTGAATACTCCCTCCAAAATTTTTTAATGTCTGTTTACGACACTTCTTGGCAGATGCTTCAGTACCACTGGAGCCATTTCCCTCCACAAATCATCATCTTGTTGGAAACATGATCCCACCCAACCAGGAATCACATAGCTGTTACAATGATGTGATCATGCCACATAGATTTGTCTGGATGACAACCCCACAAAACCAATGCAGAATCAGAGTAATGCTTTATGCCCTGACTCAGAAGCACAAACCATCTTGCCCACTTGTGCCCTGGCACATTACTAAGTAGCAGTATTTTTGTTTACAAGTTTCTCTTTTCTGCAATACGGTTGATTTTTCCTAATTGTGCAATATGTAGTTATTTGGTGTTTTATAAGTTCATTGTCTTACCTTTTCCCCATACTAAGATATTTCCACTTGAGTCTCCTGTGATTGTATCACCATTTTCAGAAAACGTCACACACAAAACAAACTTTGGTTTTTCTTGTTTCTGCATAGGAAATTATTTAGAATATTCAAAAATATCACCGAGTATTTATAGATTTATAAATATCACTCAGTAAATGTCTTTATTGCATATATTACATAACTGTATACTTCACCAGTCTACTGATATCAATTCTAACAATATATGTTATTACACCAGTTGAATGAAGTCTGTAACAGTTTAAGAAGAAATCCCTTTAAACCAAGACTACATTTTAAATACTTGCTTATGGAAACTACAGTTTCACTGTAGATTTCATAAGTATCTTTATGATCTAAAAGCATCTTCCCTGAATAGGTGGACAGAATTACATAAGCTTGGCTTGGACTCAAAAAAATATAGGTAGACCCAAAGACATGCCCAGTGGATTCCTGACATTTCTCTTTGATCATGTTTCAGAATATTGTGTTACTTTTGAACACCCCTCACAGTTGTAGAAGTAGTTTGCCTTCTACTTGATCATGGGTACAAAGAGAGGTAACTAAAATGATGAAGGGGTTGGAGCAATTCCTGTATGAGGAGAGGTTACCACACCTGATATAGTTTAACTTAGGAAAAGAGTACGGAGTAACATGATAGAGGTGTTCAGAATACTGTATGCTGTGGAGAAAGTGAAGAGTTTCCTTCCTCTCCCAAAATACTAGACTCTGGGGCAATTTCATGAAGCTGACTGATGGGCAATGATTCAGGACAAATAAAAGGAAGCACTTCTTCACGCAGTACATAGCTAAACTATGGAATTCATTTCCAGAAGATGTAGTAATGCCTACCAATTTGGATGGCTTTGAAAGGGGACTGGACAAATGCATGCAGGAAAAGGTGATCAACAGCTATCAGTCTTGGTGACTATACGCTCCCTCTGGGATCAGAGGCAGTATGCCTGTATTCACCAGTTGCTGGGGAACTTGGGCGGGAGGAGGCAGTTGTACTCATATGAAAACCTGGGAACATAAAGGTAGACCAGACGGACCACTGGTCTGATCCAGCATGGTTTTTCTTACATTTCTACGTTCTCAGTTTAATTCTGATTCACCCCTTCAATTGCATTAAAAGCAGTATCTTGCTATAAATAAAAGCCCCAACAAGAACATAAATAATGTTTACCTCAAATAATCCCTGTTTTTTAATAAGAGAACTTCCTTCAAGAGTCCAAAAATAAAGATGTGATTTTCCACATGTAACTATTATATTAGTGTCTGTAGGATGAAAATCTGCGGCAAATACTGCTTCATTAGAGCACTAGAAAGAGGAAAATAATATTTTAACTTCTGCAAGCAACAGCACAAACATGACAAAATGTTTATAGAAAATACCAAAAAACAGCTTAATGTGTTTTGGAAGCATATTGAATGCACTGAAAATTTTGTATTTAAATATTTAAAATTATTTAAACAAATATAGGCCAATTACTTGATACAAAAGCCTTGGGTGACATTCCATACCTTAGTAGGCTTTTAGCTTGTTTCTATGAAGTAGCTTTCTCATGTTCTAGCATGTTCTGATATAGCAGTGACTTCATCAAACACCCCTAAAGTGAACTTGCACTTTACACACAGGAACTGCAATTGAAGTGTGTGTGAATCTGAATTCCTCTTTTCCAGTAAGGATGTATCAGTGACTTTGTACCCTACTGTGCTTAGACACACAGAAGAGCCTGGCAAAGTTTAGGAAGGAGACAATTTAAAGAGCAGAAAGGTTTTCCTCAGAAGCATTTTGCTCACAGACTGTTTGATATTAGCAAGAACTACTGTGCTCTGCTACTTCACTCATATCCTGTCACTCCACTCTGACCTGTCTCAAAACCAAGAGTAAGATCCTTTTCTGCCCTTAGTTTTGTTCATTTATTTCTCAAAATGAAAAATAGGAAGGAGACTGTTTATGTAGCTACTGACTTGCCTCACGCACTGGAGCGTTATCATAGATATCTCACTCCTTCAACAAACAGATCTTCAGGATACATAACAAACTGATATAAGAATCATAACAATAAAACTACACAGCATCCAGTACTAAATGCTGTCACAGAAAACTAATTTTCTGAATCAAGACTCAATGAATGAATGGATAACTGAATAAAGAAGGATTAAAATGTTTCAAGCTACAGTCATTTTTGCCAGTCGCATACCCTCCAAATCCACCAGACCTCTAGTCAGAGGAAGAATTTCCCATGGAGGTGGATGATGATGAGTTACCAGATTGTAGCCCTGGAAGTGACAAAGCAGGTCTTCCAATGAAAGAATGTGAATCAACTCACCCACCCCCAGGACTCTTCATGTTCCTATAGATTCCCATCAAATAAGACAGAAAGTTCACTTTGAGGCCATTTGATGGTGTTGCAATATAAAGCCCCAAACCAAACTACCATTTCCTTTAAAATCCTCTGCAGCCCCGCTTTAAGGGGCAGTTGTCACTAGGGCCTGCCTTTCTAGGAGTATGAGCCAAAACAAATAGTTTGTTTTTATTAAACATGTGCAAACATGTTTGTTTGGTTGTAATGCAGGTGCAGAAAGTTTCTACTTTTCATACTAAAAAGAACACAAAGGTAAGGGAAGTGAACCTCACTATCTTGTCTTCCCAACCTTATTGCTCCATTGCTTTAGCCCATTTTTCTCCATCCCAGCTTTAGGATGGGGACAGGGGGAGGATTACTTTAATATCTCAGCTAGTAGCAGTAGCTGCATCAAGAGTCTAACCATTGCCTCTCTCCACACTTTTCCATTTAAAAGGTAAAAAAGTTACTAGGAAGAGATATGCTTTTTTGCTCTCTTGCATTCACTTATACTGAAACACCTATTTCATGGAAGAAGAGTTTGCTATAGCAAGAGGTTGTTCCAACCAGCAGCAAAACCTACAATCCAGCTGTATGAAGATGAAATATTATAGTTATGTTATGACAATAAAGCCCTGCAGTTCTCAAGTAGCACACACAAGACCATATTGCAAAATACCTTGACATCTGCAAGCTTTTCCTCTCTCTGCCAGTCCCACACTGAAAGCACATGGTCATTGGAGTCATCCACTGCACAAATGTTACTCCCACCATTCTGAAATAAAACACAAAATATTCTATCACCCCATATAGAGTTCCACACCCCAAATGGATTACAAACAACTAACTACAGGTGCTACCAGATGGAGAGAGGCTACCAATGAGAAGGAAGTACACAGCTTTTTCATTTCTTACACTGTAATCCTATGACCACTAGACAAGGTCTAGAAGGCCATAAGGTAATTTGAAGTCCCAGTTCCAACCTCAGAAATATACCCCAAGGGCAGTGTGGGACTGTAAATGTGGAGCATCCTCCATCCGTCCTTAAGTGGAAAGAACCATAGCAACTGTGGCACTGAGGTTGGAGGCATGCTTTGAGGGTGGCACGGCAGGGAAGGGAAAAGATTGGTTCTGCCAACATATGTAGCATTGTGGTAGCTCCTTGCCCTCCTTTCCTCACATTCTGAGACCCCAGATTAGATGGCTAAAATCAGCTGAGTGTATTTAGCATGGCAGGGGAAGCAAGGAGATTGCCTCTGCACTCCTCCTGCCAGGTATGTGTTGTTATGTGCTGTCAATTTGTCTCTGACTTATGGCAATCCTATGTATGAAAACCTGATCAATGTCATCCCTGCTCAGCTTTTGCAAATTCAAGGTGGTGGGGTGTTTGTGATCCCCTGAATTTGGGGAACTGTGCCCTGAATTGATTTTTGGCCATAAGAAAAAGTAAAGGATTGGCTCTATAGATGTGCAAGTATGGCTAAAAATGAATTAAAGAAAAATCACTAACAATTTCTGTTTGCATTGTTTTTTTTAAGCAGGCCAACAACCGACACTTTTTCCAATGTGCCACTCAGATACTTTGAAAAAGCTGTCACTGGCTGTTGCAACAGATCACAAAAACTGACTGTCAAGCCAGAGATGGCAATTGCTGAGGGCAGGGAAGGTTAAAAGTGGGGAGAAGCTGCAGCGAGCAAAAAGGGCTCATGATCACAATGAGGCAGGACTGGGGACACCTAGCCACTGCCAATCACCCTAAAGTTCCACTTGGGTAGTTCTAGAGAGTTTGGCACTGACAGTGACACAGCTGCACGTGCAAGATCCGCAAGGATGTTTGCTACTTTTATCATGTGACTTACCGGCCAGTTCCCGCTATGCATAGTGCAGTTAGTTACCAGGTTGAGACAACACAGCAAGCCACTCAGACTAAAACAACTCTCAAACAAACCATTGGCTCTCATGGTGGCATACTGTCCATGGAAAGTCCAGGTCGGCGTAAGTCAACAGCACACCATGTCTTGTCACTCAGAATGGGTTGTGAACCCAATCACTGTAGAGAATACTTCCTCAATCTGATTGATAGTCTGATTTGTTCCAGAGTTGTGGTGGGAGAGAAGATTCAGAGGGATTCACTTCCCTCTTCCATGTACTCCATTTCATGTAAAAAGTACATTCACTCCTAGTTTTATAGGTGAACAGGAAAGGTGCATGTATCAAATACATATGACCGTCCCATTGTGCTAGTTTGGCCTCAAAACTAGGCAGGATAGGGAAAACAGAAGAGACTTTTTGGCCACATATTAGATTAGACAGATTTATACCAAGATAATTGGGAGACATACTATCCTTCTTGTTTTAATTTTTCTTAATTAAGAATAAGAGTTCACTTAAGTAAAAATTCCAATTGATCAGAAAACTTTACTAAAATAGTATGTGATGTAATGTTTCATTGAGAACATCCTCTGCAAAACTCACACTGGAAAAGAAGAGTTGAACAAGAATGTATTTGCTTACAGAGAAAGCTTTCCCAGTTAACTATGGCCATTGACTTTGCTTTTTAAAAGCATATGTCAGACATTCAGATGCAAAGAAATCACATTAACAACACATAAATTACTTACCGATTTGGAAAATGCAATGCAAGTGACAGCCCGGTCAAAGAACCCCATCCCAATGACATGCAGCGTATTCAGAGTAACGGAGTCCCAAATGCGAACATGGGGAAGTAGTTGCTGTTGAAAGACATTTTAGCACTCATCAATACATTAATGGGGTGTAGAAAATTTTCATGTAGAAGAGGTCCAGTCTTATATTTCATGCACTCAGATTACAGAAAACAATTCCTTGTTGTTAAATTTTACAAAAGCCAGCCTTTTTCAAGTAATCAGCTCAACACAAGGCAAATAACTTATGCATATAATTTGAAAACATAGCCCATTCCACATCAAAATTTCAAGGTGTAGTAAGCAGATAGCGTGATGACACAGCTAACGAAACTACACTGTGAAACATTAAGTTTATGGTTCAAATGGCAGAGTCTGCAGTCTCTGCACATGAACTCATCAGATGGCCCTAGGAAAGTTAGAGTGCAATATTATTGCTTTAGCAGCAGATGCAAGTAAGACACCGAACTTAGAAGCTTAGGAGTATCCAATGGCAGGAGTGAGGCATGATAGTGACAAGCTCCACTGCCACTGAACTTGGCACCCTGCATTTTATCCATTATGTCTAGATCAGGGGTCGGCAACCCGCAGCTCCGGAGCCGCATGTGGCTCTTGAATCCCTCTGCTCTGGCTCAGTCGCTCAAAACACCCACCGGCACAGCCACCGATCTGCGACCGAGGCTGGTTAAGTAAATTGCTACATTCCTCTGCTATTGCGCAGGGAAAGAGTGGAACAAACTTCCTGCAGGCTCTCATGTTACTCAAACCATGCTGAAAAGATTCTCTTTGTCCAAATGTAATCTCCTTCATCTGAATGTTAAAAGCTGCGCTTGGGACCTGTCACAATTCACAGCACTTGACTGTTTATCCGCTAATCAGTCACTAAACACACCTATATCCCTGGCATAGCCATCTGGGACCCACAGCTTCCCCCCTCCCACGCCCCCCCCCCCGCCCACCCAGGGAACCATTAAAAAGTTTCTGAAGAAAACCGAACGTTTAATGGTACGTGGGTGGATTCATTTGCTTTTACTGCTGACGAACTTACAGGGTTTGCTGTTTAATGCATGCAGCCCTTTAGCACTGACTTTGACTCTGCAGAAAGCTGTTCTCCTATTCAAAATATATGAAAGGAGTCCTACTAGTTTTTAATGTAAGATTAAAAATAACAGTTTTTAGTGACTGAACAAGAGCTGCAGCTAGATCTTAATGAAGAGATAGATCTACCTCCATGTTTTTTTTAGGAGTTCAAAATGTTTTTGTTGCATGCAGAAATAAAAATTTGTTTTCTCTGTAGTCCACTGATTTCATAAATGCATCACACTATAGTTTTTTTATACATAGCATAAAGGTAAAAAATGATATATGCAGTGTTATCTTCATTTTAGATGTCAAAAGGGTTTTGCGGCTCCCGGTGTTTTCTTTTCTGTGGGAAACACATCCAAATGGCTCTTGAGTGCTAAAGGTTGCCGACCCCTGGGTGCTCTATCTAGGGTGTTCCAGTGCTCTATCTAGTGCTCTAGGGTGTGTGCGTGGGGGAGGGAGGGGGCTGGGATGCCCACTGACATCAGGATAATTCTGTTATCTCAGCCATACCCACCCTAAGGAAAAAGTCCTATTTTCCCCCTGTGATATCAGCCTCCTGAAAAGTCCTCTGGTCTCCCATTTGATAAAAGGAGGTCACAGGATTGCAGTCTCACTCTCTTGCCAGCTCATTTACACTATGGGGATAATATTATAGGCATATCTTATAAGGTGTTTAAGATATCTCTGCCATTTTGTGTGCATTTAACTGTAAACCCATCCCATCTCACTTGTGCATCAATCTGTGCATTAATTTTAACAATCTTAATGAAAAATATTTAAATATGCATTTGAATAGTACTCTTAGGTATATGTTCTCTCAAAATATTCCTTTCTAAGCCCATTTCTCAAGCTGCACATTTTAAAACATGTTTTGTTATGCTGTGTCAAAATATATGAGGAAAGGCACATTCTGAGCTGTATTTCAATCTGCACATTAATTTGGGACATGAGACTCAGGTCAGTTCATACTGAAATTCACAAACATAAAATTCTTAAAGCATCCTTCTATGACAAAGAATCTATCTGAAACACTGGTCCAGCTGTTATGTTTCCTTTATAAGAAAAAGGGCAGTGACTCTGTTCAGACAACCAAGTGTTGAATATGGCTTGAATGTGGATTATTTTGCTTAACCAATGGTTATGGTGTTGTTTGAACTCAGCTGAGATAAGAAAGCATAGAAAACAACCCACAGTTCACAACCTAACAATAAAGCATGGTTTCTCTGCTTGGGTTGTTCACAGTTAATAGCCATGGCTTGTTAGTGCAGTTGAGTTCAGACATAACCCAAATTTCAACAACAACCTACAGTTCAAAAACAATTATTGTGTTGCTAAAAGCAGTTAACATAAATGGTTTCAATTCTTTCATCCTGGTTTGTTATCCCATTCCTACTTCGAGACTGAATTATTGGCAAATTAAATGGTGCAGACATGGCTGAAGTCACATAAGCCCAACACCCCAGTGACAGTGCTGCCCCCTTGCTACCACCTGGTTAGCCTGCCACCACCAATGTAAAGGCTCATGCTTGAAACCCTAGATGGGGGGGGTGCCTCCCCACTTATCTAGCACTTTCAGAAGCCTATAGGTAGAAGCTATAATTTGACTAAAATTAAGGAAAGCCGGTGCAGGGTCTGTGGACTATATTAAGGCCCTGTCCCTAGCCTTTCTCTCCATAAATTGAGCATTACAAAGCTCAATTTATGTGCCAATGCTTATCATTATTCAATATTGCTACAGTGAATAATAAAAAAAAGATCATACAAAGTTCTCAAAACGGTAACCATATTTTTTTCGATGACAACTGATATCACTTGGTTGGGAAATGCATACATACACACTGCAATGAATTTTTACAACCACTAGAGTGCAATCTTTGTAAGCACAAGGTTGAACAGACAGCAAAAGGTAGCCATGTGGATCATGAGAACAATTTTTTTAAACTGTATTAGAATACTTTATTAAGCTAAACAAAACTGCAGAAAAGTTTCAGCAGCAAACTGAACAAAAGACTGAGATAAAATATTTGTCTTTTGATCGCTTTAGTTAGTGCAAAGTAACCACATGTAGAGTCAATATGAATATCAGAAGGGATAGCCAGAATTGTTCTTGGTATTTTTATTCAATACAAAATTACATGAGAAGACTCAGCTTAGAGTTCTATCTGCAGAGAGTAACTTCTGAAAGGCCTTTAAACCATTCTTTACTCAATGACTTAGATAGCGTTAGAAAACAGAATTGCATCAGCACATTTGTGGATAATAATATTTTAAAAGTTGCAAATATGAAACCTTGCAAGTCCAAAGAAGCAGCAAGGTGTTGTTATTAAAAGTTGGCTGCATTTTTAGTCTCTGCGCAGTTCCCTGCCAACCTCATGCTTTGTCTCACACTCATCCTACTCGGTATGCAATTTATTCTGTTTCTATACAGAATGGCCCTGAAGTTGTTCCTAGTTCCTTACTCAAGGTTCCTAGTTTCCCATTTGCTTTTAAAATGCAGTCACAGTCTAAGCAATATTTTCTCGGCAGAGAGGTGGAGTATAAAGTAAGTAAATAAATAAATGTTTTGTCAATACCCCAAAGATAAACCAAGGATGTTCCTCCACCATCATACACCAACTCCACTGGAAGACTCTGCTCGGAGAGGTGAAACATCTGGAAGTTTCATTTTTTCATCAAGTACAGCAAGTGGAAGGCCCCCCGGGGGGGGAGATTTTGATTTACAGTGGAAAAGCCCTTATAAAATAGGGACTGGACATGAAACAACATGTCATGAAATAACCCTGTCTGTTCCAAGTTTACACCCATTCATCTAGCAGACTGTGCTCTGTTAAGTGTCCAGATCAAAATGTCATTTGGCATATTTATTTAAGCAAAGTATAGATGTGGACTGCACCCAAAAGACATTGCTTTAGGCTGGAAACATAACTAGAACCTGGGAACCAGGAAGCAGCTTGAGCATCGTTTATATATTTCTACTAACGCCAACTGTCCTGTCATTCCCCCAACACCTACATGTCATTAGAAGCTCTTGCTTCTTCCAATATGTAATCTGGAGATTTAATTTTAAAGCAGCTGCTCCATATTAGTACTAATACAACATCAGCACATGGTAGAACAGCGGCATTTCTACAAAACAAATTCTGAATGTGAACAATAGGCTGACTTACTTTTCCATCCTTAGATGTTCCTGCAACCTGACCAGTTGCTATGGTGATCCTGTCAGGATGGACAGCTAGGCTGCAAGAAAATAAAATAAACCCTTTTGTCAAATACCATATTTACAAGCACTGTTCACAATGCAAGCTACAAAGAATCCAGAACAGTCTGGATATTTTCTAAAATATTTATGCACATGGAAAATTTTTCATTTTGTTATTTCATTATTCTCTTCATCTTGTTTAAAGGTTTGATTGCATGCTATGTTAGGTGGCAATCTGGCTGCTTTCTTTAAAAAATAAAACTATTAAATTGCTATTCAGATGTGGTAATTTATTTCCACTGAATGGTTAAAAATTACTGTATCGATCCCCAATTTTTTCTGACCTCAAGCAAATCTTAACAGAAAGAACAGAACTGTCGTGAAAGGGTGCTATCACACTCATGTCCTGTTGTCATTGGGCATCCTGCTGACTACAATGGGACCACAATGCTGGACTACGTAGGCCCATGGCTCAATTCAGCACACCTCTTTTTATGTTCTTATGAGGTCTAGAGGTATGGCTGCTTCAATGCTCTTTGGTCTAATCATGTATAGTTAGTGATGCCAGGCAACATAGGGTAGTGATTACAATTGCAGGATGTGAACAAGGAATCCCTTAGTTCAGAGGTCATTTCAGCCATGAGCTTGCTCGGCTGCTTTAGGTAAGCTGTTAGACTCTTAGCCTCAGTCCCTCATCTGTAATACAAGGTAGGGGGATATGCTGATTTTAGAACCAAAAGAAAACTTGAACCAAACAGGGTCATTAATGTCAACCTCCACTTATGAGACAAATCCCACGAGTGAAGCCACAAGGGTCAGATCATTTTTGTTATCTCATTCATCCCCAGCATTGAATTCTGGGGACCTTACAATGTATGGAGGTGAGTGAAGCCACAGAGGTTCATTACCCCAGTGGCAGTGCTGCCCTCTTGCTACCACCCACTCAGCCTGCACCACCAGTGAGAAGGAGCTTGTTGTTATGCCCTGAAACCCAGCACTGGTTCCACTGGTATGCTTCCTTTACAAGAAACCAAGCACAGAAATGAGGTTCAGATGACACGTAAGATCATCTGAATCATGGCAAACAACTCACAGTTCGCGGTGCTTTCCTCATGGGTTGTTTGTGGCTTGTTAGTGCAGTTGGGTTCAGACAACAAAATAACCCACATATTTCAACCACCCACTGTTCAGCATCAACCCACATGATCATGGTGTTGAACCAAGCCAACATAAATGGTATTATTTCTTCCTGGCTTGTTTTCAAAGTACTGTTGTTTTGTAACTTACCACTTCACGTCATCATTATGACCAGTGTAATGTCTCTGCAGTTGCTCTTCAACATTGTACAATACAACAACAGATGCTATGAAATACACAGTTTCACCCGTTGGTAGGAGATACAGGTTGCTGCGACAGTCCCGGCCCCTATAACCATAGCTGTCATCTTAGTTAAGATATAACAGTTCAAAACCTACAATGCACAGAGTACAGACTCTTGGACTTTTGGAGTGCTCAGTAGTTTATTTTGGTTTCAAGTGCCATGTGCCATTTGAAATAGATCTCCCAACCATGTCAACAGAAATGAGAATGTATTGAGAGAATGAAAGGTAAGGAAGGAACCCTCCCTCCCTCCCTCCCACCCATAAAAGCATGCATATACTTTTCTCCACAACTCCAGCACTGCTGGGTGTAACTTCATTTTAGTGCTTTCACAATATATAGCTCACACTTTTCCCTCTGTATTCTGCATGTTGCAAATACTTCCCTTGCCTTGAAAGAGTTTAATGATGCTAAAGGAGATTAAAGCAACACAGAAACAGTATTTCAAGTGAACTTGCTCAACAATAAAAGTATCAGCTGTCTAGAGATGCTTTCCAGTAGGTCAGCCAATATATTTCTTTGGCTCATTCTGCTAGGATTGATTTCATTATCCCTAGTTCAGGATGATTGCTTTCATTATCCTAGTGTTAACTAGCCAGATGGAAACAAGATTGTAGAAGGGCTGCATTGTGTTTTTTGTTTTGTTTTTTAGCAGCACGGAGTCAGAATCTCATTTGTTACCACCAGTGCAATTCTTGGGCAGATCTAATTGAATCATGGGAGTTAATCTATATGTAAAATGGTATTAATTGGCCTATGATGTTATCTATTACCAAACATGGTGCAACAGTACTCTCACTGATACATGGCCTTTCATTACTGAGGACAAAGATGAACCAACCCAGCTCTGTTCATTTTTTGCTATAATCAGTTTGACTTATGCAATAAGACCAAACCAATTAAAAAGCTGGATTCCTAACCTGCATCCACAGCTGCTTTCTACATCATATGTTCAAACTCATACTTTCAAAATGGGCAATTGGAAAATGGTTGTGGATCCTCTTTTTGTAACCATGAAAAAAGTTTGTCCTCACTCACTTCCTTGCAAACATTCAAAGAATACAAGGAAGAAACACAAGTGTAGAAAGTAACTCACAAGTATTTAATTAAGAACATATGGATTTTCCAAAACTGCCATATCCCTTCAGCTCATCCACATGGGTTTTTCCCCCCTAATACATACATGTAGGTGTAAGTTCTCTACTTTTCAGCACATTAACTTTCAGTAGTTAATGTGAACAAGGAACAATTATATCCTTGACCAATGTATATAGTAGTATGCAATAGTCAAATGTGTGCACTTTAAGAGAAGCATACAGTAACTGCAATACTACTGAAGTGCACTTGTTTAGCCATGCAGTGCACAGAAGTGAAGTTCAAATTATGCGTGCGTATGGGGCGGAAACCAATGAAGAGACAGGTGAAGTGAAGATTGAGAGACTCAGAGAAGGTGTGGCTGAATCCCACATTAAGCTTTTATTTGTAATATAGCACTTCTATAGCAGGGCTGGCCAGACTTGCTCAACGGAAGAGCCACACAGAGTACATGTCAAATGTTTGAGAGCCACAAGCAGGCAACTGAAGGCAGCAGCAACAGGCAGCGAGCCACAAAATAAACTCAAAGAGCCACATGAGACTCGCAAGCTTTGGTTTGGTCGCCCCTGTTCAATGGGGTGCACAATAGCTAACTGAGGCTTTTTACTAATGAAGAAGATACCCAAATACTGAGGGGAGGGGGTTGAAACTGATTCCCAGTTCCTTTTCCACAAAAACATTTCCAGCTGTCCATATATGTGCCCAGGCCTCACACTATCAGGATAGCCTTGATACCTAAGTTTAAGTGCAGCTGTTAGAAGTAGTTGAAAGTCTCTTGTGGAAAGGGAGGAGCATTCTGCATAGCAGCCGCTCTCCCTTCAACCACCCCAACAAGCAGCAACCTCCACATCTCCTCCATCTGCCCCTCTTCCACTGCTACACACCTCTTCCATGGTACTGCAGCAACAGCATGAAGGAACGTCTCTAGCTTGAATGCTACTTCTGTGTCACAGTGAATAAATCATTCCTCACCTCTTCTTTGCCAGGCGCAGGGCTGGCCCAAGGTATTTTGCTGCAGTCTGCAAAGGACAGGATGGCATTCTCTATCCATTCCTTGCAGAGAATACAGCAGGACTGGCAGCTGAGTAATGAACAACTTCCTCCACCACGCCTGGAGGCAGCAAACTAGCTAAGAGGGAGCAGATTAGTTTTGCTTAGGGGGCTCAGAGGAGATGGTGAAGAGTTGCCAACCATGCCCCCAGCACCTGCAGAGCTTCGTTCTGCCAACTGGTGGGGCCAGTGCAGCTCAGGGACCAAAGACCATAGTCACCCTGGAGAAAGAAGTAATTAAGCTAAAACAGTTAAAGGAGATTGATTGTAGCCCTGCCTTTACTTTATTATTATTATTATTATTTTATTATTATTATAACATTTCTATGCCGCCCCTTGCCGAAACCTTTACCGGGGATAATCAATTGCATCATAAAATAACAAGGTATAAAAAGGTTTTCATCCTTCTCTCCTCTTTGTCCTTCAAAGTTGATGCACTTTCACTAGCTATACTGCTAATAGTAGCAACAATGCACTCACTTGAGAAGAACAGAGAAGCCTGAGAAGTTAAAAAAAAAAAAGGAGTCTGTTCCAGGCTTGCACACACTCCCACATACAACTACATATAAATTAAAAAGAATGCACATGAAAGCTCTTGAATATGAAATCTTGATCTCTTTAAAATGATATTTCATTAAACATAGTATTTAGAAATATCCAGACGCATACTATAGGCTCTGATCTAAACCACATTCCGCAACTCTGTGGGAGAAGGATACACCACTGTTCTTCATGACTGGGGAATTCCTTATACCCTGTGATGTCAGAGGCTGACAGCCTTAGATCTCAACTGGCAAATTCAACACGCCCATTTAATGGCTGCATTGCTTAAACGGTCCAGTTGCTCCTTGCCAAGCTGTGGCACTTCTACACAGCAGCTGGAAAGCTCATGTTCTGGCTGTGACACTGAGTCTGGCAACCATCCTGCCTTTCTTCCCCCTGACACATTGCTATCTGGTACTTAGCTCAGGAAACTTGAGGGAGAACCATGCCAAGATGCAATGCACTATATAGATATATAAAATGATATTGCATTGTACTTTGGACTTGACTTCCTCCAGAACAGACTGGCTAAACCTGACTGGTGCACAGAAGAACAGAATCCAAAATATAGTTCCAGGCATACTACACTGCAGAAAGAGGGGATCCAGGACAGTCTTGCTTTCTTATTAAAATATGACGAAAACAATGGCTACATCTAAAATATCTACATCAGGCTAGGCAATTTCCTAGAGTCAAGATGTTGCACTAGACAACAGTCCAGGCTGCACCCGTATCCCCCACTTGCCTGGCCACCACTGAAATCCAGTGACAGGACAGCAGGTGGTTTGCTGTTGAATTTCAGCCTTACAGGGAAACAAAAAGGGGCTATTCGGTTTTGAAAGAGCCCCATTTTGCTGCTAGCACCAAACCATCAGTGACAAACCTTTCATTGAAAAGGATCTTTACTCCAAACACTGTGCCAGTGAGGCAAGTAGGGGTCATAAAAAGCCAAGTCTTGCGTTTCCTGTCTCTGATCTAAATGAACTATACTGGAAAACATGATACTTTTTTCCTAATTTTTGTAGGTTTTTTAAATTGTACAGAGGTACTATAAATACCATTTTATATGTCAGTAGAAGAGCAAACCTGCTTAAGTACATTATAATTAGTAACCATAGTGCCCTACTTTTCTGTAATGTGCCTAATATAATCATCTGATAATTAACTTGTTTTAAACATAAACCTTCAGGCTACATTCAAATTGAAACCTTCCTGGAGCTGCTTAGTGGTATAAAGATGTGGAGCAGACATTTTACATCACTAGTACTCTTTTGATAGTTTCACTGGAGAAACTGTAAGTGCAAATATACTTATTTTAAAAAGAATACAAGAGATGAACAGCTACTGGCTTAACACAACATCATTCAAAAAAAGGATACACCCATTCCAGTTTAAGCCTTTTGGTGGGTAGTTCTGCCTTTGCTTCCAAATTGTAAGATTCCACTTGATCTTTGGGCATGAACATGGTAACAGGACGTCCACGCAGAAACATTTTAACATATCCTTCCTCTATGAAAAGGTCAGAAATATAAAGAATTACACACAAAAAGTATCAGTCATATGTTCCACAATTCTTTCCCAAGCCAATATTGCACCTAACTGTATCTCTAGATTATATTGGGGAGAATTGTTTTTTCCTCACCCAGTACCCAAAGCTTGACATAATCAATCATACACATGAAATCTCTTCTGTTTTATGCCTCTCCTTACAATCCCAGTAACTTTGTAATCAGATGATGAATTCTATGCACTGGCATATTTTTCTGGAAAAATACAGATTTCTTTTGTACTCAACTATGGAAGAAACCCCAAAGATTACAATTAACACAGAAATGCCACTTAAAATTCTTTTATTTATTTTGAATATTTACATATCTGGATATCTACAATTGTCAACATTTGCTGCATTTTAGTGTAAGCTAAACTTTATACTTGGTATATACTGTTAGAGAGACACTGGAGACACAACGAAGACAGTCAGTAAAATGTGCTGATGTACATGCAAAAGTGGCTAGATTTTAAAACAGAAACAAATGACAACACAGAGGAAAGAAAACATACAAAAGAATTACAGATCAGAGCGTGGCTGACATTAAATAAACATGCTTAACACCAAAAATACTCTAGCTGGTGGTGTTAAAAGCAATGTATCTAGATAAAGCAACATTAATTTAGTAACAGATCTGAAAGTACTGACTTGGGGACTTCATAGGGCTTAAAAAACTAGGTGACCTAGGAAATGGCATGATTGTCTGACTAGGACTTTTAGGAAATGGCAAAGCCAAAGGAGGTTTCTTGCAAACAGCTGGTGTAGCTTTACGAGATTCAGAACTTGCAGTCTCCTGCTGCTCCATCAGCAGATCAAGGGATCCAACCTTGTTTTCATCCGAATCGGGAAGTTTTGGAGTCAATGACATCAGAAGAGTTACTAGATGAAATAACCATGGGCATAAAGAAAACGGAAGGGCAGAAGTAACATTGTAAAAATTGGTGAGAGAATTTTAGGTCTACTAAAATACTGCTAAGAATTTTCAGATGCCATTAAATAAATGCCACAGTTTAACTTGTAAATGGCTTTTTACTTTAATGGATGAAATGACAAAATTTACAGGTCAGTTTTAAGCAACATTCACTGAACAATAATACTATGTTATATACTTGTAATTTGATAAAAACCTAAAAGTTGTTGCAGTGATTGTTTTTAGGCAACCAACAGTTTTGCCTGGAAAGATAATCAAAGTTTAACCTCTGAGTAGCTGCAACAGTAGCAAATCCATAACTACAGGCTTTACAGTTGCATCATAGTGTAAAGATGTAAATTACACTTAATACGTGTTGTTAGGGATAGTGTAAAAGCATAAAATTTACTAAAGTACTCAGTACTTTATTTTTTGTTTTGAAAAAAGTATATAATAAATAGAGGGACACTTGTCAATACTGGAGCTGTATGAACAGTTACAGGTGGCTACACTTCTAGCTCTTTATTAAGGAAGAAAGCATATTTTTCTTCTTAACTGTCCTTCAATATGTAGCACATATTGAAAGCTCTAGAACCATACAGGTTACAATAGTCAAATCATGAACTATGGGGCAATTAAGGTCCAGTGTTGATATCATGTTGTCAATCTCCTAAATAGAGTTAGGAAAAAGGAAACAAGCTGTGAATTTATGGATTTCCTGCCGTTCTTGGATACAAATCCCCCCTATTTGCTTGTAGGCATTTATCAATGTTAAATGTTATTTCTATACCAATGTTAACTATCGTTACTGCTCATCAGGCTTCCTTCCTTAAACAGGATTTACACCTAAGGTCTGAAGTGAACCTTTAAGCCTGGTTAAGAAACTGTCTGAATAGCATTAACCATGCTTAGCATTGGTGTAGACGGGTCCCAAAAGAGGTGTGAGGAACTTCCAGGGGCCTGGGGACTGATTTTTCCCTCCCACCAGGAGTCATAATTCTGCCTTTGTCGCTGAACCTGCTGCCAAAGTTTGGTGAAGTAACAAGAATAGGCAATCCTTCCTTAAAACTGGCCTTTGTTTTGTCGCCATGCTGCCAGAGTGCCAAATTTCAGCAGCAAAAGTTATTCTTTTCCTTCAAACAAGGAACAAAATTAATCCCTTTTTGCAGTCACACCATTTTATTTAAGCAACAAAAGTGTGATCCCCCCGCCCCCGCAACTTGTGTTGTCCACCTCTGCCCTAAATTACAATCAAAGCCAATCAGGGAAGAAGAGGGGAATTAGCTCTGGAAATGGGGAAAAGGGATACGGACAATATGTCTTATCTCTTAACCATGAGTAGTACTGCATCTGCACAGGAACCCATGTAATTTGACAACTGGACTTTAAGACTTATTGTTAGCATTGTATTGTTTTTCTAGAATTTGCCTTCCATAATCTTCCAGTAATTGCACTGAAACACTTTGCACTGAAATACGTGAGAGATGGTTGCTTTTGGAAAATGTGTCAGAGTTTGTTCCTTTCCCAAAACTTACCATGCAAGCAAATATAGGATTATGGGAAAAGTAGCAATTACTGTACCAAAAGATCACAACACATTATAACATAACTGTATAGTCCAGAACTTCAAGGAGTTAGTCTGATACAAGCATTTATGATCAAGGTTCTAAGCTATGTAAACTCTATTCTGGTGAACCCAAAATTAACCTTAACCAACCTAATCCTTTTGGAACAAACATCTTGCCAGACCTGCAGTCCAGGCCACCCTTTGACAACAGGCATGAGAAGTAGATTAGTAAATGTTCTTTGTTTGCTCAAACAGGCTGTTCTAAACATGCTCTGTATCACTTTCAATATCAAAGAAAAAAAGCTGCACAGATATTCAAAGACACAGAAAGAATAACCAATGGCAACAGACTGAAGGGAGATATATTGATTTCAGAAGATGAAGATACTGGATATAAGACAACAAAGCAATTGTTAAAGCAACCCTAGTTAATACATCTGCAGTATTCTTATAATACTATAGTAACAGCTTGCAAACAGCATAGAACAGATAGTATTGGATGCCATTAGCATTAAAATTAACAGCATCTCCAGTTACTTCGAAAAGAGACTGCAAGATTTACGTTACATGTGGCTCACTTAACAATTTGCTCCACAAGAACAGCCTATGATTAAGAAATTAGTCATATACAAAACTGAGAAGATGCAATCCAAATCTGTTTATTCCTCACAAGCAATTAAAAAATAAGATCAAGTGTGCATAGATTACAACTCCATTAACGATTAACACAAACTCCCCACAAGGTTTTCACCAACCCTAATTTGAAAGTAACATCATGCATTAAAAACATTGAAAAATCTGTTAGTCACTGCAATTTGCTTGTTGGCAACTCAGGTTAAGTTTATTATCTACCACGGACAATTCGGGAAGTGAACAAGCACTGCAATGCCATTCTAGAACAAAATGCTTCTTGTGGCACACATTAGGATGCTATCTGAACACGCTAGGTGGGACAGCTGCTATCACAAAGCTTCTCAGCCAAATTGCCAAGCAACTATGAACACACAGCGAAACACTCATGTGTTGCCATATAGCTCTCTTAACATTTGGGTCCTCTCTCGCCCATTTATTTGACCAGGCCAACAAAGAACATACGTAGGTGAAAATGTATTACTGTAAAATTCTACAAGGCTTAGAAAGCCACAAATGCACTGCAAGAACGTTGTTCAGGAGAAGCTGAATGTGTTTAGTATTGGTTTTGCAGCACAGGGATACGCTGCTTTTATAGAGAGCAACTCCTTTGGCCCTGTTAATAGGCTTGCTTAGAGAGCTATTAGGTTTCAAAAGCAAGTCCTACCTACCTTTGCAATGTGTCACACGACGCTTCCCTTGTGGTTTACAGAGACAGAGATAGAAGTGCTAGATAAAGATGCATTCAAGAACAGTCAGGCTCACCTAAATCCCTGCTCTATGGATTCCCCACTTGTATTCTTTTATACGCCATTCAGGTAACAATGTTTCGTTCACACAAGCAGTATGAGCCAGACGATCCTAGGCTCATCCACATGCAAAAGTTTGTGCAAATCATAATTTCAACCCCTAATCATGATTCATGCAGCTTCCCTCTTCCTCTCTTGTCCATGAAAATCCAAGGATGTGTTCCAAACAACGATTTAGGAGAAAAAATAGATGTTCCAAGTTACTCCCCGCACTTTTTTGTTACACTGAGAATGCTTTGCTACAAAACTGTGGTTTGGAATCCAATTTCAAACCATGGGCAGTATGTCAAAACTAGTGCTAAATAATGCTAACAGTGTTAATTGGAGACTACCCTGAAAATCTCTTACACCAACTCACACTACTGGTTTTGCTCGGAAAGTTGCTTAAAATAACGCACTGTGATTTATACTAATGTTAATATCAACTTGGATAACGCTCCTTGTTCCCAATTCCTCATCTGTTGACCACTCATAAAATATGGTTTGTCAGGTAGTGTTAGTCCAGGTTTCTCGCATGCTGGGAGGGTTTGCACATGACTAAGACACACTGCATAGAAAGTTGCATGACATGTAAGCCACCCTACCTAGATGCACCCAAAGGACCACAAGGTGCATCAGAAGTAGAGAGCCTTCTCCTGCCACCCCATGGTACTCCTTCCAAGTACCCCAAAGGACACTGTGAGAGCACCAAGGTTTCCTCCCCTTCCTGCTGCTTCCAACAGAACTGAGCCAGAGAGGTGGGAACAGGGGAACTCTCACTGCTTGAGCCTACTTATGAGGGGACTGGCCATGGTGGTCCCATCACTGCTGTCAGAAGGCAGATAGGGGACAATCCCAGCAGGGATGGGTTGCTTGCAAGCCATGTTATGTTGGGCTCCTTCTAGAGGAATTCAAGCAGAATGCAGGATCTTCTGTACCGAAAGGCAACTAATTTGATGTGGCAAAGACATGACGACTAGCATTCTACTGGGCTTCCTCTAAGAAAGGCCAAGCAGAGCCAGCACCTCCCCACACCCTGGTTAGTGAGGAGTCTTCAGCAGTGGGAGTGAAGGTGGCCCCCTTCCTGCTTGCATTCACCTAACAACCACAGCAATGACAAGCAGGAAGAGGACCACCTTCATTCTAGTTGGTGAGGCCTTCCTGCCAGCCAGTGAGAGTGTGCTTGCTGCGTGCTGCCTCTCCAGGTCCCATTCAGAGCTTGAGGGAGTTGTGTGCAGCAGGCATCAACAGAACCACCTCACACTATCTCCCTAAGCACTGCCTGAGCGGACAATGCAAACTGGCAGAGAAGCTGATGACAGCCACCCCAAGTGCTACTTGTGCACACCAAGAACTGCTTTGGCGAAGAAGCAAAATTTTTCCTCCAGTGGATGTTTGTTTGTTTGTTTATTTGGAATTTTTGTATGCCGTCTCATTCATATAAGCCTCGGGACGGCTTCCAACATATAAATATCCATACCAATGCAAATAAAATCTGGAAACATCCTGGCAATAATTTAAAACCAATAAATAAAATCAACACTTATTAAAATATCGTTTAAATAAAAAGGTCTTGGCCTGGCACTGAAAAACAAATAACGACAGCACCAGGCAGACCTCTCTGGGGAGCGCATTCCATAAGTGGGGCGCCACCGCAGAGAAAGCCAGGTTTGGACAACACATAAAGCCACTGTGGAGCAAACAAACCTTACAACAAGCCATAGTTTATCAAGATGACTTATAAACCCCTCCGACCAAAGCATTCCAAGGTTTGGATAATGTGTGAAGCTAGCCACTGTGGCTCAAAAGCCACAGTGGCTTAGCATGTAGTGTGAACCTAGTCACCATTTCTGCTGCCCCACTAGGCTGACCTCTTGACTGGGAGCTAGTCTGGAGTGGGGAGGGATTTAAAATTGCTGGACAGAATTTAGAGAGAGGAATTACTGGCCAGTTGGACAAGTTAAGCACTCCACTCCTCACCTTAGAAATGTTCCTGCAAACACAGGACTGAGCTACTGTATCAAATGTATTTGCAAAGGAAGAAACAGAAAATTTGGGCAAATGTGTTAACAAAAAATATTGAATTCCTTACACTTAATGAAAACAATCAGTTCATAAAAAAGAAGAAAATATATGGTGACCTTTGTTTAGGGGATGACTGAGTAAACCTGCTAAATTAAGTGGAATGATTGGCATGATTAAGAATGATTTTGGGACTGAAGACTATGATCTGAAAACAAAAAAAATGGAAAGTCCTAAGTAGCTTGTCTCCTCTGGTCCAATTCATGCTTAGCAATGAAAACTAATTTTAGCATTTAAACAGAAGAAACTATCTTATACCAAGTCAGACTGCTGTTTCATCTACCTTGGCACTGTCTATGCTGACTGAGAGCATCTCCCTAGGGTTTCAGCAGGACCCTTACTGGATCTGGGACCTTCTGCATGCAGAACACATGCTGAGCCACTGGACTAACATCTTTTTCCCTGTTGAGACAGCATGGCTGAGCTGGACATGAACACATCCCAATCTCTCTCCCCCTCTCTCTTCCTTGCATAAGGCACCTCTAAAAGTTTCAGATTTTAACTCCCCAGACAGCATGGTCAATGATCAGGAATACTGGGAATTGATCTCCCCAAGATCCAGCCCCTTCAGGCTTTATATGACCCTTTAATGCATGGTAACTATTAAAGATACAGAAGCACTTGTGTACTGGGTTATTTGGAATCTTTAAACACGAAGCTTTAGAAGACTCCTGTAAAGTCACAGTTCTAACCTATGTATTATTGAGTCGACTGTCAAACTAACCTGATGCCATTACCACTGAGATAGGTGGCCCATGACTGCCAATTGTACAAAAACTAAAAATAACCATTGGATTTGAATTACATGGATCCACTCAGAATTTCACATGAAAGAAATCAGTACTGATGCTGGTGCACAGAGTAATAACAACTGACTGCAGTCTGACTTTGTACATAATGCTAATAAATTCTAAGTTCAATAGTTTTTTATTTTCTTGTATGCACATTCATCATGATGGTGGGGAGTCAGAAACTATAAATACAGCTGCAGAGCTGTTTTTTTCCAGCATGTGCACACATTGTCCATGGATGGGTATGGGCACCTGGGGTGAATGATTTGTAAGAGGAGGAGGAGGAGGAGGAGGAGGACCAGCCTAGGAAAAGCTGGAGCTTTTAGGTTTATATTTACATAGACATTTCCTGCAAGGAACTCAGAGACCCTTAAGGGTGGACCTTGGTGGCCTTGTCCAAATACAACTCAATTTCAAGTAGAACTACACCAGGGACTGTTAGGTCATTCATTCTTTTGGCATGACAAATAAATGTCTTAATCAGACCTAAATCTCAAACCTTATAGAAGCTTCTTACACTGGATTATTTCGACAAATGTAAACAGTTTATTATCATTTGTTACTCACTGTAATGTGGACTAGGGGCATAATTTTGGGCCCAAACTCGTATCAGCTCTGCTGAATCATCATCTGCTTTCAAACACTCATATGCATGCTTAGAAAAAAGTTGCATTATCACACAAATAAAATCTTTACTGGGCAATAGAGAAAGCAAAACAATTACCTGCACTGAACATTGGTTCCTTGGGCTTGCTGTGAAAATAATAATAAAATTTTTAACATGACAAAGCTGCTCATCTTTCCTTCCAACCCACCTTCCTTTAACCACCCTCCATAACTGATCAGCAGTTATTCAATTTTTAATTAAATTTAATTTTTATTCCCCCACTCATTTGTTTCTCTTGTTCACAGTGCTATCTAATCATGCAGTTTGTTCCTATACAAAACTGTAAAATCTGACTGTTCTTCACCATCCTTTCAGCTAAAACTCTCCCTCATGCTCCTGCATTCTCCTGCCTGGACTACTGCTGTCTTCTCTGGTCTTCAGTCACAGGCATTTCTCTTTTATCCAAAACAATGCTGGGAAAATCATTCATGTTTCTCCTCACTGAGACCATGCGATGCTTCTCCTCAACCCCAGTACAGGATTTCCATCCACTTTGGCACCATTACAAACTTCTTGCCCTTAGTATTAACATTCTCTGTGGCCTCATGAGAACTCTATCTTTCTGCCGTGTTGTTGCTACATATTGACAAGCCATCTCTGACTTACGGCAACCATATGAATGATGGTTGTCCTGTGCATCATAGCCCTGCTCGTATTTTGTAACTTCAGGACTGTCGCTTCCTTTACAGAATTGATCCATCTATATTTGGTCTTCCTTTTCTTTTGCCTTCAATTAGCATGATTGCCTTCATCAGCGTGTCTTGCTTTCTCACAATGTACCCAAAGCATGACAGCTTCAGTTGAATAATGTTTGTTTCCAGGTTTGGTTTGAGCTAGGACCCACTAGTTTATCTTCTTGTCAGACCAGGATGTTCACAACGTTCTCCCCCAGCACTGCATTTCAAACACATCAATTTTCTTTCAATCAGCTTTCTTCACTGTCCAGCTCTCAGACCTATACACAATAACTGGAAATACAATAGTGTGGATTATCTTGGCCTTGGTCTCCAAATGAAATGTCCTTACACTTGATGATCTATTCTAAATCTCAGTCTTCTTTTAATTTCTTGACTGCAGTCTTCCTTTGACTTGACGACTGGGTCAAGGTATGTAAAAACTATCGAAATTCCAATTTCTTCATTGTTGACCTTAAAGTTATGTGTAATTCTTCTGTAGTCTTGATCTTGTTTTGTCAGAGTTCAGCCAGTTTTGCTTTTGTGCTTCTTTCACTTTCATCAGGAATCATTTCAATTTCTTGCTGCTTTATGACAGGAATCTTTCTGCCCTTATTTCACTTTATATCCATGCCTGGAAAGATCACTGGTACAACTATACCACTGTCAGCTATCCAGAAATCTCCTGTTTCTGAAATTACTCCTTGCACCTTATCCTGGTTCCTGCATTCCAGACACATTTCTTTCTGAACAATTACACAGTGCCACCTTTCTCTCATCTGCCAAAACCCTCCTTAAAACTCACCATTTCCTGAAACACTTGAATTACTCTTTATTCCCACTGAAATGTAATATCCAAATTCTATGCTATGCATGTTAACCACTGAGTTTAAAAGACCTTATGCCCACATAGGTCTGCTGCCTAGGTAGCTATAATTGGAGGTTCCCCTAAATGAGGACTTATTCTGCAAGTTACTTAGTCTGAAACAGTCCGGCAATATTAAACCTGAATATTATAGAGGCTCATTTGATCATCCCCAATCTGAATGATTGTTATTGTTGAGAGCCAGTGTGGCGTAGTGGTTAAGAGCATGGGACTGGGACTCAGACGATCTGGGTTCTAGTCCCCGCTCGGCCATGGAGTCAACTGGGTGACTTTGTGCCAGTCACAGACTCTCAGCCCAACCTACCTCACAGGGTTGTTGTTGTGGGGGTAAGATGGAGGAGAATAATGATGTAAGCTGCCTTGAGCCCTTTGAGGAAAAAGGCAGGATATAAATCGAAAAATAAATAAATATTACAGCTGCAATTAATTTTCCATCTCAATTGCTCCCTGCATTCCATTTTACTCTCTGCTACTTTCTTCACTTACTCCACCCCTTTTGTTGTCTTCACCCACTGATAAAATGTAGTTTGCAGGGCTGAGATCTGTCTTTTTGCTTGGAGCAGTCTGTCTGGTGCTATGTGCATAGAAATCAATATTATTTTAGTAATGGTAGCACAACAAAGTTGTGGCCAGCTTTAGGAGTAAGGGTCAAAAATGTAGCATGGTGCTTTCCATACCTTTCACTGTTCTTTTTACCACTAGATGAACTGCTTGTAGATCCTGCACGATTGCGACTGCCTTTGGAATCTCCGTAGCTTTCCCTTCGACCCCCAGGAGACACTCGTTCAGCTGAGTTGGTTCTTTTGACAGTGCTATCAGAAAAGGAAGAATATCTATTTATGCACATAATGCATTATTCTGAACCCACACATCAAGCTCTTCAAAGTACAATCCTGAAGCAGTAATCTATCTTGGGTTGAATTTGCTAATCCAACCTTTGGATGGATTTAAAGAAGTGCTTCAGGATACATAACCTCTAGCTGCTAGTAAAAAGTGAAATTAATGAGGAAACAGAATTGCAGTATGTGACAGAAAATTTAGGATCATGTTCTAGTCTGAGTCATTGTTAGGGACGCATAAACATCCATTGGGTTGATCTGAAAAATAAAACTGTAGCAAGCATCCATAAGGCGTTTTCCCTGGCAGAATTTGGCATGAATATCATTATTTTCCTAACGGAGGTGTTGAAATTTGTGGCCACAGCCTGTTAGAAATGGACGCTGCGTGAGGACACTGCATGGCATCTGCAAGAGTTTCTCCTTTCCTCACAACCGTCTCTTTCCTTTCTGAATATACTGCAGACATGGTTGTTGGCCTGAGGGAGGCAGGCACACTGCAATGCCATTTTCAATTTCTCTTCCATGGTGCTCAGTTCACTGCTTTCCATCCCCATTCACTAAGCCAAACCGTTGTATCCTTTCCCGCAGCACTGTCCTCCCACTACTGAATTCTACAACAGCAGAAGAAACTTTGAAGTTCTGTTAGCTTTGGTGTTCAGGGATCACCTCTCACCCAGAGAAAGAACCCTTTCCAAATGCTTCCCCCAGTCAGCAAATTCCTTAGGCATTTCATTCCAATCGCAGAATTTTTTTTTAAAGAGCAAGAAAGGCTTGCTTTGAAAATTGAATGAGTGGTGAGTTTCAAAACTCCCTTTTAATTCCTTCCTTTTCTCTTCTCAAAGGTGTAAGAAGCAACAAATACTGGGTAGTGAGAAGGAAGGAAGGAAAATCTGTAGTGAATTTCTTTGGAAGATAGAGAAAGTCTGTGTCTTCTGGTCTTTTTACCCTGATTTTGAAACTAGATGTTATAAGGATTGGTAGGGCTTACCAGGGAAGTGGGGCTAATGGTCCCCGCCCAACAAAGGAGAACTATGGGATTTAAGCTTATAGGGAACAATGCTTTTATGCCTTTCCTTTAATTCTGTGGAAGGTGCAGAATTGGATGGATCCATCCACTTGTTGGATGGAAAGGAAAGGGATTCCACATGTGTTCGGAGGCACATTTACTATAAACTTGCTGGCTTGTAGAAATAATTTTTGCTGCTCAAGTATAACATAATCTGTGAACTCCTGATACCATACTAATAAGTGGTACATCATGTAAAAATATATGCATATGCATACAGACCTATGCTTCCAACTGTTAATGAGCCTAAACTAAACAGCAAAATGTCTAATGGTCAAAATGGTTTTTTGGATTATCATGCAATTATTTGTTTCAAGTTTATAGACACACTGGGTTCCTCTCATTCACTGCTTAATAGAGGCACTTTCCCCTTAAACTCATATGAAAACAGCAAGCAGCTTAAAAAATAATTTGGAACCTTTTCTGGATTGTAATAAAATTCTCTTGGGTATACATTAACCCCAATGTCCTAAGTAAGGCTGTATATATGGGGAAACTGGATGGACCTTTGCTTATTTGGACAGAAAACATCCCTGAGTTGGGTCCTTTTGCAATAGCACAAAGACTTGGCGGGGGGGGGGGGGGCTTCCACTGGACCATATGAGTAATGTTTTGCATCTAAGTCTTGCATGAAAACCAGCAAAAATTCTATACCCCAAAACAGATAAGGTTTCATGACAAATATTTAGGCTAAAAATATTTAAAACACATACATGTAAAGGCATTTGGATTAGCAGTGAATCTCACTAAGAAATTAGTACAGAAACAGGAAATCAAATTAATACTTCTTACAATTTGGGGTGGGGGTTCTTGCAACTACTTAAGCTTCTATTTATTAATGCAGTTACATACTACTATGGATGCAAGATGCTACTCTCATCATGTAGTATAGGAGACAGACAGATATGACATATTATGATACTAATAAGAATCCCTCACCTTAGAGAAGTTTTTTTCAGTTTGCATGCATTGAGAAGACTCACAGACCTGCTTAATCCATGAATGAGAAGTGCATAAACAAAGCAGAATAAAAGTGAATGCAGTAAAATAAGAATGTAAGAACAAAGAACATTTATAAAAGCATTACAATACAAGACATACATTTCATGCAATCAGCAGATTACATGACACAGGATTAAGAAACCATATCATTTAAGAGGTTTCTTGAAAGTTCAAGCTAACTAATGCTAAAGGCACCTTGAACAAAAGATGCAGAGGGCTTTACAAAAAGTTTGCAAAGCACTTTAACATGTAGCTCCACTGTATGCAGATAGCTCAATATCTTTTGGTTTTAAAGTGAAAAAAAGGATGAAAACAAGCAGCAGTAATCAATAGAGGGCAGGCAGGAAACTCAATACTAGAGCAGCAAGAGGAAAAAAGACAACAAGAGTGCAAGTTATACACACAGAAAGACACACAAATAATGAATGATGGCATATAATTATTTGGAATGCCAGACATTCAAAATTATCTTCACAGTAGTTTAGACAAGAAAGAAAACCAATACTCTGGTTATTTTAACAGAATACAGATCAACTAAATAAAAGGGGAGTAACCATGTGCAAGAGCATGAGCCTTTTTAAAAAATTTGTAACACCAAGGAGCAACATAGTAGCTAAAAACAGCAACATCCCACAAGCCAGGGAAAATTTTCTGACTTTGGGAAGATCTATATATTGAGCACAGTTCATACCTGGCAGTTCACGCTGTTTCAATAACAGGTAGTTCAGGTTCTCTACAGCATGCGCACATTCACACACCTAACTATGTAGCAGTCATGTCCAGCTGGTGCAATATCACGCAAAAAAGGGTGAACCACTAGGGGTACAGCATTCAGACACATACACTCCTCAGTGGAACAGGATCATACTGTTGGTGTGCATGTTTGTCTGAGAGCTAAACCTGGATGGTTATACACACCCCTGCTCACTGCATACAGTGGGTGGGTTGGGGGAGCAGCAGCATGCTTGTCTGTCCTACCGCCAGGATCCCTGAAACCTGAAATGGGATGTGTGAGTGGAACTTCAGTGAACTAAACAGAATTAATGATGTTTTGTTGCATACTTGCTCCAAGAGTAATTAAACACAAAGCAAATTAGACATTCAATTTCTTGACCAAAGTATTTCCTAAAAAATATTATTCAAATACCTGTGAATATGAACTGCAACTGGTTATTCACATAAAATCTGGGAACATGTCAAGAGGTATTTTAAAGGTATTTTTAATGTGGCAAGTGTTTATTATCAGATACATTTCCAGGTGCCTGATGAAATCACTGTTGTAGTTAAAGCCAAGGTTAAGTACACTTGCCTAGAACCAAGTCACTGAGCACTGAGAGTGTTAATAATGCCCAGCCGATGCATCCCAACTCCTTACTCTTTAGATCAAATGAATTACTGAGATATGAAATACCAGCTCTTTCCCTGTCCTACCCAGAGGTTCTGGGCACTGACCCAAAATACGCACTCTTTCATGGAGTTACAGTCCATCCATGACAGCAAATACTGAGTACACTGTAAATCTCCAAACAACAAAACAACTGTTGCAGGTGACTCTGCAAGCAGGTGTGCTACCTTCACTCTGGGGCTCACGTCTGAAATCACAAATTAACAGTGCATTTACTCATGACATGATTTGTAATATGCACAATGGCTACCTTCATTTAGGGAGCAAGAAAGGAGCCATAGACTTCCCAGCATTCCCTAGTCACCTGTGCTGGTAGCTGTAAGACTTCTTTCTAAACATGCATAGGATTAGATCCATACCTTACTATGCTCACAGACTGTAGGGATTTGCAGTGAACCCTGGCTCTTGAGATCACGGCTAAACTTGTAATGCAGGAATCACAGAATAGTAGAGTTGGAAGGGGCCAGAGGGCCATCAGTTCCAACCTCCCGCTCACTGCAGGACTCCCAGTAAAACCATCCCTGAAGTTTCACTTGAAAGAGATTTTAGGGAAAAATTATACTTCCAGTTTGCATTGTATCTGAAGTCATCATTTACAGCTTTGGAATCTCCTCATGCTCTGAAGGTCAGAGCCAGGTGAAAATTGCTACCTTTCACTCTTTCAATTTAAGAAATGAAAAAAGTTGTTTATGAATGTAAATACATATAACATGTTCTGCAGATTATTTCCTATACTACTCTACACAAAAGAAAATATTTTGAATAAAGGCTGACCCATGACTTCAGTAATAAAACTAAAATTTTAAACACCCTTTGAGGGTTTTTTTCTTAATGTGATCAATAATAAATAAGAGAAATACCAAACCTATGATAAGAACAATCTCCCTGAATTATTGAAAGACTCACTCCTAACAGGTCCTACCTTTGAAGACATAAGCTAGGATGACCAATGTTAGCCACTAAGATTATTCAAATATTTGATGAGAACCAAGGTTCAGCTGGCTTTTTCAGTGCATCCCATCAGTGCACAAGCTAAGTGTGTTCTGGCTGTGCTGAATTACATCAGAGGTAGGTCTAGGACTGCTTCAGATGGAGGGCTCCTAATGCTACCAATGCTGTCTCTTTTTTCCTTGATGCATTATCTGTTGCAAGAAAAATGATGGAAGAAGTGGTGGGAAATCATAGAAGGCTAAAAATGAATCCCCCCTCAAGGTAAAAGGCAGTGTGAAGAGGCAGTGTGATTGCATCACAAAAGCCTCATCTGAGAGCAAGCTAGAACTTGAGTAGTACACAAAGAAAGAGACAAATATAGCATAATCTGTTAAAAATAGAAGATTCAACCAAATAAAAAGAAAGTTCTTAAAAAGTACTCTTACACATGGCAACACTGGGAAGGAAAGAAAGAAGGGTAGGGAATTTATTTTACTGGGTAGGTGGGAGCTTTATTGATTGCATGTCATGGTTGAAAATAAGCCAACATCACAAAGTTACAGTAATGGAAGAACAGGAATCTTTTTCCTATATATATATTTTGATAATAAAAACAACTGAAGGGGCTATATGAAGCAGTTATAATACCTTTTGAGCATCTTTGTTACTTCTGTTGGTTTGCTAGAGAAACAAAGGCACTCATTTTCAGAACAGATTACAAAATCCCTAAGTAGACATTTCCTGTGCTTAACCTCAAATTACACAGGCAAGAAAATAACAGCCTAATTATGCTCTCCTTTAGAATTTCTTGCAACAACATTAATCCTGATTAATTAATCTAGCATGAATGAAGTTGAAGATATTTCTACAAGGTTTCCAATTGTAATTTGGTTTAATTATCTAGAAATTTATCTTGAAAGTATCACCCAGAAAGAAATGCTCAGAGGAGTTGTTTTAGAAGCTGAAGACAGGCAATATACATACATATGTACAAGACAGATAGATATTTAATACCTTTTCGCTGTTGGCAATACAATTTCTTTCCTGGTTCCTGATGGGGAAGGCAGAGAGCCACTGGGTTTCTTTGGTAGAACAGTTCCATTATTAACAGCAGTCTTTGAAGGCAGTGCTGGCCCTATGTGTCTTACTGTAAAACAAACACAAGATAAAATTAGGAGTGACAATTATGAACACATGGATAATGTCAGATAACAAGATACAGTATGCAAACTTATGTGTGTCTTCATCTTCATTATACTGTGACAAATAAGGGATTACATCAATCTTAAACCATCAACACAAGTCAGTAAAGTTAGAAACTCCTTTCTAGATAACAGTAAAGAGCAACCCTACATACTTTATAAAGAAAGCAGGATGTCAAGTGATTCTTCATTAGAGACTAGTAGGATGTGCTGCACTGTTGAGGGAATGCTCACTTCAAAGAAAGGCCATCGCATCCCTCACTATGAAACATTTGGTGAAGCTGTTCTCTCTGGGCCCTAACATCTGGTATTGCTCCCTGCTTCTGTATGCTGGGAAAGTGGGGAGTAGCATATTGCCCAATAGTTTATCATGAAGCAGTGAAGAGGCTTCCTTTAAAGCAAAGGGTCTGGCAGCAATATGTAGGGACAGCAATATGCCTCCTTCAACAGAAACACTGAACAGCCATTAATAAGAAAACAATAGCTTTTCCAGTTTTCTCCAAGCAGATTCATCTCAGTTTTAGAGAGAGTAATTATTTTTGTTTATAAACATTCAAAAATCATTAGAAACTTTGTAAAACATGGCTTGGATGTTTAGAAATTACACAGCATTTATCTGAATGTACATTCAGAAAAGATGTTCTGCTGTACCATTCTTATTAGCCAACTATTCTAAAGAATGATTTCCTTCTTATAATATGGCAGCCTTTCTTATTTCTTCTAAATGTTTGGTACTCCAGGATCAGAAGCAAAGACAGTTTCCTTGCACAGTAAATTTTTATTAAGATTGGTATGTGGTACAAAAAAATATTCTCATGCTTATCACTGGGCACCTAAACAAATGAAACTGGTTGGGAAAGCTAAGGATACCACTTCAATCCAGAAGTATAGATACTCCATTAAAATGGGTAGTCCATCTCTGTGAAAAAAGGAAACTTTTGGCTCCTAACCATTAAATAAAACAGAAGAAACAAAAACCACCTAAGCATAATATGCAGATTGTAATCCTGAGCCCAAATAGATAAAGGAAGAAGTGGACATTGATGAACATAAAGATCTCTGGGCTAAAAAGAAAGGGTTGTTTTTGTAGCAAATATTGTATAGGGCCACCAATCCATTTGGAGTTCCATATACTTACCCAGACCCTTCAAAGCACATTAGGAAAAAATCCACAAAAGAACTTTAACATGAATATCATTCCAAGTAACCATGAATAATTCAAATGAATAATGAACAATGTTAGATACAAACACAAACCACATTACCAAAATCAATGAATAAATAAATAAAAATAAAAAATAGAATCACCAGTTAAGATTAGGTTTCCTGTTCCCCAGTTTATCACAGGTTCATATTCCACATTTTGTTATGTATAAAAAGATGGTTTCATTTTAATTCAGAAAAATACAATCTTCAAAGAGGTGCAAAATGTAACGGAGCAGCCAAAATACAGAACTTTAATGGATCCTTATTTTCATGCCATACAGGTGCCTGGTTGCTCTGACAACAGAGAAAAGTATGAAGCCAGCATTGCACTTGTTAGAATTCAGTGAATCTCTACTCTTTATTAAACTATCTCTGCCCTTATCACTCCATGACAATCCTGGAAATTTGCAATGTTTAAGTGGTGAGCAGCATTTCCTGACTGGAACTATGTAAGTAGTATCAAGCAAGGTAAAAAATACATTCAAATGAACTAATGACTTATCCTAAATATCTGTATGAGAAAACGGAAATTTGAGGATCTTAAATCATCTGAGATGCAGGTGGGAGATAATTACTTTACAGTCTATGCTGGCCCTATGCTAAGATATTATTTCTGCAACCCACAGTCTCTTCTTTGTCAATAACAGAAGACCTCATAGGCAAGAACGTTTGTTGTTGTTAGTCGCGAAGTCGTGTCCGTCCCATCGCGACCCCATGGACAACACTCCTCCAGGCCTTCCTGTCCTCCACCATCTCCCAGAGTCCACCAAAGCTCACACCAACTGCCAACGCTAACCTTTAACCCCAAGTTGGCGAACTTGAGGCTTGCAAACCAAATCCAGCCCTCCGGAGCAACTTGGAGGGCCATGGTCCCTATCCTCTGACCACAGATCACCTGGTGGTTTTCCAGCTTCTGCACTGTTATTTTTCCATTCTAAAAGCCTGGAACAGCTCTCTTAGGTTTTAAAAAACTTTTTAGCAAAATGCTGGTAATTTTGGTAATACGGCCCTGCCCCTTTGCTTTGGTTCTTTGGCCTTTAACTCAACTAATGGAATGCAACCCCCGCACCCCCTGCAAACCTATCAGAAACAGAATTCATCCCTAAAGCTGAGGCAGTTTTCCCACTTTGTTTTATTCTATAGAAAATAAAAGCTAGCCTGGAGCTGCTGCCATTATTTCACAAAAAACAGGAAAGTATAAAATATAAACCAGCAAATCCATATTATGCCATTATTCTACATCAGATTCAAAATAACCTATCTAAATTGCAGCACAAATAGTTATTGTACCAAAATGTGCAGAAAAATGAACTGAACAATATATCCAAAATCCATCAAAATGAGATGGAATATTTTATTTTGATCCTCCCCACTTTTGTTTTCCATGGGCATTTCAGTTTTGAATTTCATCATAAAAATGAGTTTTTAAAAGGACAGCACCTAGAGGGCCACAGGATTCTTGGAATTCCCAGATCTGATACTGGAAAAGTGCTCCAACCTTGCAGCTGGGGATCCACGGTTGAATCATTCTTGCCCATTTGCAGCCAGCGCGGAAGGAGCTGTGTTGGCTGGATAAAGTTGGTAACTGTAGGGGATTTTGTGACTAAACATTCATAGGATTGCTCCCTAAGTAATATTCTCCATAAATTTCTATGAACAGAAGACTGTCCCATTCAAACTGTTTCCAGTCTATAGAGTTGTTTGTGTGCAACACAGATTGAGTAATGTTCACCTTCACGCAGCTTTACCAGGAGCAAATGGAAACTGATTCTAGCATCTGTGAGCAACCTTTGTTTCCATGGGAGCTTCTTACTCATTAAAGGATAGTCATTAACCAAAAACTAAGTGACATTTGTTGGAAAAAAACTGGGTATGCAATAATATTTCTTTAAAATGTCACAAATTAAGATACAATTGACTACAAACTGGCACATTAGTACACAGTGATTTTAACTTTTACTTTCTCACTTCAGGAAAGTGTCAGATCTCACCAATGACCAAATCACTGAAGCCCTGACATGGACTTGTGTGTTCCATTGTTTTAAGCTGCAAGTTCCAATTCTAATTTAGCTGGTTGATTTGCAAAACTCATTGTTTGCATGATTCAGATGGCATGGCAAACTATGGTTTGCTTAGACAAGAAAGTGAAAGACTGAACTGGCAAATAAGGGATGAACAGTGTGTACCATGTTTGAGCTACTTGACCAAGCTATGGTTTGGCTATGTTGTGAATGGATCCAAAATCTTTTCTTAGAATGGTCCTAATTTAAGTATTAGAGCTATACCCTTTCAAAACATGAAGCAAGTTAGTCAGAGTTAACTTAAATCTCTCTAGGACTGCTTGCAGGACACAACACACACTATGCATTGAATAACCATGGAATGGTTGGTGGCCGGTTTGCAGGGGATGCCGTATGAGGTGAGACTGAGGGAACTGGGTCTCTTCAGCCTGGAGAAGAGGAGACTCCGAGGGGATATGTTGGCAACATACAGGTATGTGAGGGGATGTCACATGGAGATGGGTAGAGACCTGTTCTCCCCTGCAGAGGAAGGCAGAACGTGCTCCAACGGAGCAAAGCTCAGGGAGCCAAGGTTCCGTTTGGATGCCAGGAAGCACTTCCTGTCAGTCAGGACCCCGAGGGTGTGGAATGGGCTTCCACGAGAGATCGTTGAGGCCCCATCAGTGAGGGTGTTCAAGGGTAGGCTGGACGTCCACATGGTGGGCATGTCGTGAGCGGAGCTGGCTGGTGCCGGAGGTCAGACTAGATGGCCCGGGAGGCCCCTTCTGACTTGCTCTGTTTTCTATGTTTCTATGAATGTGCAGGGCCACCATTTTGCATATGGAATCCTCACTTGAAGGTTGTTGCAATGTGTGAACCCAGAAAGTATGAGTTATGTAAAGGTTAAATAATCCTTGAGTAAAACTCTGTTTTAAGATTATGCAAAGGTTATTTAAACCTTGTTTATCAGGTTTACACATCACTAGAACTCTTGAAGAAAGACATATTCCTGTGGTGCTCATGGGTGCTGCAACTTGTCATAGATTAAACAGCACACAAGCCTTTAAGCCTGCATTCATTGTGGGTTATTTAATCCATGACAAATTGAAGCACCCATGGCCACCACTGGAATATGTACTCTTCAATGGAATATACAACTATTTTTCTAGAAATAGAAAGAAATTGGCTGAAAATATCTCTTTCAAATCACTGAGTACAAGTAGCAGTACTCTCATATGTAAAAGGATGAAAAGAGTTCTAGAATCAGTAATTGTAAGGCTGGAACATAAGGAATTTAAAAGAATACTGTAGAATACTAAAGCATCTTTCATTCACAGGCCAGTGAACTTGTTTTACACATTAAGTCTCATTCTTGACTTATCTGTTCCTTTGATCACACACTGAAAGGATTGAAGAAAAAGATTCAAAAGCACAAGTAACGATTTTTTTTCAGTATTTTACTGAAGCAATCAATTATGAAAAAAATCAGCAGCTATTCTACAACAGATTTGGGAAGCAATTCATTTGGCAGGGTTGATGCTTCATACAGGGAAGATCTGGGATGGAGGTCTCCAGGACAAAGCAAAATGCAACACTTGATATATGTTCTTAAGTGTCTGTGTGTTTTTCTTTAAAGGATCCCATTTCCTAAGGACACCCCCATTTGTAAACCAGGGTGCAGGGACGGGGAGAGGAAAGCATTTGATTTCAGAAAAAAAATCAGGCAGAAAGATTTGGTGAGGAGTAAGTCCCAGGGTGTTGGGACAGATGGTCTCCCAGGGGTTTGGGGATCCAACCCTAGCAGATTATCCTCCAACACTGTAAAATGCAAATTTACCTAATTTCATACATTTGAACCAATACTCAAAATTCACATTTTTCTAAGTTTTGCAATGGAATTTTCTAGTAAAAAATGTGGGTACAAAACATTTGAAACATTTACAAACATGAAAAATCTCAATTCAGGAGAATCAAACTTAAGCTTTAAAAAATCCAAAACTGAGAGAAACCATCATTGACATATTTATTCATTTCTATGCTGGGAAAAAAATAATTCTTTTGCTCCTGTATTGTAACATAGAGATATTTAACTTCATGCATTAAACAGATATGGCTATAAAATTTTTGCTACAAAAACAAACCTTTAAGAAAAGCTTTGTCTTAAATTGCTTAATCTAACCACGGGGCAAATTTTCAGGTAGCCAAGAATTAACTAATCAAATAATATGCTGTAAAAAGGCTAGAATCTTAGAAATATTTTTTTGAATATAATTCAATTTGAAAAGTTTTCTTTGGCTGTGTGACAATCCTACATCTGATCCATCCAGAAAATGCTTACTAGCCCGGGGTACATTCTGGTTTATCAGCAAGCCAAGCAATTCATTTCTTGTCTTCTTGATATGATAGAAAAGACAAACAGGCAGACAGACATCTTTCTGATATGAAAAGACAGACAGATCAGCATTCAGTGGAGCAGGAGCAAGAAACACACGGTCTTTCCACATATGTTGATTAAACATCTTTTATACGTTATGTAATATATAGGTTGATCCTATACATTTTTTAAAAAATCCAGCCAGCTTCAGTTCAGACTAAACATTTTTCAGTCTACACTTCAGTTCAGACTAAACATTTTCAAGTCAAACAGCAATGTCTGCTAAGGAGAGCCAATCAGACCACAAAATGTTGTCAGAATTCTACATATACAGTGTCTTAATAGCCCCCTGCTGGCACTCTATAGAAAAAGAGGGTCAGTGGGGACAGGAGCACGAACTCCGTACCATACCTTCCCTGGATTTCTTCCTCTACATATGGAGGACAACAAATGCAGAATCAGGATTCTGAAATACCATGGAGGGTCTACACAGATGGAAGAATCTTTTCACCACGAGTAACAGATAAGAGAACAGCACAGAAAGGGGATGGTGTGACTGTGCTTGCCCTCATAGCTCCTCCTTGTGTGTGGAGCTTACTCAAAAGAGAGTAACTGCACAGGGCTCAAGTTAGTGCAACATTTGCTCAAGCTTAACAAGAACAGGAGGATTTAATTGGGAGCGTTTGAAATAAATACCTTTGGTAGGTCCTTTCTTGTTCTGCATGGCCTGTTGCTCCTCAGTAATATTTAAGCGCCTAACTACATCTGCCAAAGCTGACTTGAGCAGCTGAATGTCATCTTCCTGCATCTGGACACGCTGCTCCAGTGAAGCAATGCGGTCTGTCACCTCCATGCTGCTTGCGGCAGAGGCACTGTCATCTAAAAAAAAAAAATGTTTTTTTATAGTTAGGTTTTATATTGGAAACATGTGAAGACATATAAACAAACATTGTTACTTGACAGCTTCTATACACTGTACAGAATATTTCTTCTACTATTACACATTTTAGAATTAAAACTTCAGTGACTGCTAGAGGAAAAGCTGAGTTAAAACTCAACATCTAATGCTGCGTCCCAAAATAAATCTATTTTATATTTCATTTTTAGGGTTTATTTAAAAAGACTATAGAGTTAGATTATTATCAGGTAATCAATCCAGAAAAGCAACATGGTTTTTAATTCAATCATGCAGAATCATGATTTTTTTTCACCCTTTTCATGGTGCGAACAATACAGATCTGAATCAAGAAGGTCTGTTACTTTAAGGCACCAATACAAATGACCAGAAAAATAAAACACAATTTCAGAAAACCCTCCAAATCATCTAATATGAAGCTTCATGTAAAATCACAAAGTAGCCTGGTAGGAAAGGACTGGTTGCATCCATGCTTCATCTCGCCTTCTTCCTGACCTGGGGTAGTTAGCCACTCAGCCATCCCTCATAACCTTTCTGCTTAGGTAACATAAAACATGGAACACCTGCCTCTATTTTTATAATTCTCTGATCGTTCTAAGGGTCCATGAAATGCTGCATTCACCATGATTCACCTCATAAATATGTTTGATATGTCAGACTGCTCACCATCACTTTAGATAGCCCAGCATTTCATTTATCAAACACAGTAGCACCTTTCTCTTCTTTTCCCTTTTCCTCCTCCTTCAGTGAACTTGATTAATTTGGAGCCTGAGCTTTACTGGATTTCCATGTTCCTCAATAAGACAGAAGTCCCTCCATGTTATCTAGACAGTTGCCATTATATCATAATTAAACTCCATGGAAGGGATGGAGGGGAAAACAGGCTTCCTCCAATCTGTTTCCTTTACCAATGCAGACAGGCAGCCTAACTGAAAGTCTCCCTATTCCAGAAGCTGGCAAGCTGGTACCCCTCAGATGTTCTGGATTACAACTACTATTAGCCATGCCTTGCATGACTGATAGTCAAGAGTTATGAGAATTGTAGTACAAAACACCTGAATTGCACCAGCTTGTCTTCCCTGGTTCTACTCCCAAATAAATAAAGTTCAAACTTACAATTCTGCTGGAAATTGATTTTATTTTAATTATTATTTAAAGTATTATTTCTTCAATTTTTTTGCAGGTTGCTTGAGTTCTGGTCAACCAAGAATCTACTGTATTATATATTATAGTGATAATATATTATAATTATATATTATTGTATTGTACTGTATTATAATAATCTCTACTACTAAAAACAGGGAGCCTTATGGCTAATGTGGCAGGATAAAAAGCTAACAAACAGACTAACTAATAGTAATGTTTAGTTCCAAAAAATGATGTTCCATCAGAGCACATACCAGACCTCAAATACAGATGCCAGCAAAGCATTGTGGGATAATATTTTGACACAAGCAATTATGCTATGTTTACGTTTAAAGAACCATGATCAGTAACTGGCCTGTAGACATGACATTCTCTTACTCAGTTATCAAGCCAACTGAATATACTTAACAATTTCCTTATACAAACTGAACTTGGTTTGTACATGAACAAACATGATTTGAGTACATATCTATATACTTGAAATTCAACATAATTCTCAGTGCATCTGAGGAAGTCAACTAAAGAATGCTATAACAGATATATTAGCCTTCAAGGTGCTGTTTTAGTGAACTGTGATGTAAAAAAAATTCCTTGACCCAATCTAATTGCATTAATGAAAGCAGTAGTGATGATCATAGAAGCATGAAATAGTGGAGTTGGAAGGGGCCAAGAAGGCCATCAGTCCAACCCCTGCTGTTGCAGGTCACCAGTTTACACCATCCTACTCAGATGACTGTCCAGTTTCTTTTTGAATGTCTCTAGCAGAGAGCCCATGACCTCTCTAGGCAACTGGTTGCACTGTCACATTGCTCTGGCAGTGAGGAAATCTTTCCTGATATCTAGTCTGAATCTGGGTCATCACAACTTGACTTGATTATTCGGTGCCCTACACTCTGGGATCAGTGAAAATAGTTCTTGATCTTCCTCTTTGTGACAGCCTTTGGAGTACTTGTAGAGAGAAATCATGTCCATTCTGAGTCTTTTCTTCTCAAGGCTTCTCAAGTGAAGTAAAATAACTTCACAGTCACTTTTTGGTTTGATTTTGTTTTTATTTTTGATTTTGTTTTGATTTTCTTTCATTTGTGAATTGCTATTGGTTTTATGTGCATATTTAATTATTGTTACTTGTTAAATTATCTACTTTTGATTTTTGTAAAAATGAAAAATAAAGGCTAAACATACCCAGTTCTCTCAGTCTCTCCTCATAGGGCAATATTTTCAAATCCTGGATCATTTTGGTTTCCCTTCCCTGGACCCCTTCTAGTTTTTCTGCTTCTTTCTTGGCATCCAGAACTGGACACAGGATTCCAGAGCAGGCCTAACTAGTGGGAAGGTTAGGGGAACTATCACTTCTTGTGATTTGGAAGCACTACTTCTATTAATGCATCCCAAAATAGCATTTGCACTTTTTGAAGCTGCGTTGCATTGCTAGTTCATTGTGGACAAATAACGCCAAGGTCTTTTTCCTTTTTTAGTTCTGTTGAGACACATATTCCCCATCTTGTATTGATAACTTTGGTTTATTTTTTCTAGGTGGCAGACTTGGCATTTGTCCCTACTCAATCTCATTTTGTTGCTTTCAGCCCAGTGTTCAAGCTTATGAAGATCACACTGGATCTTCATTATGTCTTCCGCAGTGTTCACTATGGTTCCACCAAGTTTTTTTTTTATCATCTGGAAATCTGATTATCGTTCCTTATACTTCACCATCTAAAATCTTTAGTAAATATGTTGTAAAGCATTGGGCTTAGGACTGAACCCACAGCACCCTACTAGTTACCTTTCTCCAGTTTGGAAAAGTGTCATTGGTTAGCACTCTTTGTGTCCAATTGAGCAGTCAATTTTGGATACACCTAATAGTTTTTCTATCTAGTCCACCTTTTGCTAGTTTGCTTATAAGGATGTTATGGGGTACTATGTGAAAAACTTTGCAAAAGTTGAGGTAGATTATGTCCACAGTATTTCCACTGTCCATTTGGGAGGTTACCCATCAAAAACGAATTTACATTTGTTTGACAGGATTTATTCTTGATAAATCCATGCTGGCTTTTATCTATCATTGCATTTTCTTTGAGGTGCTTGCAGACTGATTTTTTTGATAATTTGCTCCAGAATTTTTCCAGGGGTTGATGTCAGACTAACTGGTCTAATTATGTGTGTCTCCTGTTTTTATTGCATTGTACAATATTTTAATATTATTTATAGACTGTCCCAATATCTTCAAGGATCAACAACGTTAAACATGCTTTAATAAATACATGAAATAAAACAAATATTGTGTTCAGCTATAGATTATTTTGTAGTGTAGCTATAATGAGGTATTAACCTCAAAATCAGGATTAAGACACACTTTCACAGTTGTATAAGATTTGTAGACATGAAGCATCTCTTGAACAGAGATGAAGTCTACGCTGATCTAATAATTTTGTACTTTAACTCAACTGGAAGTAACATGGATTAGCATATTGAACAGACAGTACCATCAAAGACTTGATTCAAATTGTTATAAAATGAACTCAATTTAACAAGCATTCTGCTAAATCCAATACAACTTTCAACAGTTCTAGCCAATGTTTTGAATTTGCTTAAAACTCTTTAGCAGGAGTGTCAATACTCTATGGCCAAAAGCTGTACTGCCACTAGTGCTAGCACTGTGCACTTGTTATTTCTTCCTATCACATCTCCCACAATTATCCTACTTTTTTCCAACAAAAGCATCCCACATAACCATTAGTCTTTCATATGCTACTTGGATATTGTACCTAGCCTGAACCCAAAATCATCTAACGTATCAGAACCAAACCTGTCAGAAAGGCATTTCTGAAATCAACCCTTTTCTCTTCTGGAAGGAAGGAAGGAAGGAAGGAAGGAAGGAAGGAAGGAAGGAAGGAAGGAAGGA